ACGTAGACTGGTGACAGAGAGACTGGTGACACAAAGACTGGTGACACAAAGACTGGTGACACAAGGCTGATGACTATCACTGTCAAGCCTTGAGTCATCTTTAAAAGTGAGTAACCTGACGGCTAACTACATCGATTGAGAGGGTGGAAAAATCGATAGGTAAATCTCACATAACGAGTGCTGTATTAAACTTGTAAATCTCACACTACGAGTGTTGTATTAAACTTGTAAATCTCACATAACGAGTGCTGTATTAAACTTGTAAATCTCACATAACGAGTGCTGTATTAAACTTGTAAATCTCACATAACGAGTGCTGTATTAAACTTGTAAATCTCACATAACGAGTGCTGTATTAAACTTGTAAATCTCACATAACGAGTGCTGTATTAAACTTGTAAATCTCACATACCGAGTGCTGTATTAAACTTGTAAATCTCACATTACGAGTGTTGTATTAAAATAGATGCTTTCTGTGTTTTAGACCTCTCCTGTTGCCTCTCGCGATCAAATCACGTGATCTTTGTACCTGGTGATGTTCGTAATTTTCTCTCTACGTCTAAATTGACCCCAAAAACAACTGTCAAGTTTTACATTGTCAACGTCTAACTTTGTTAGCTTATCAAATCTGTTGCCTTATGATACCAGCTTGAAGCGATTCGTTTCACAGAACACACACAAATCAGATCACGATCTCCCGTCGACTTGTTCAACGACAGCCCTACGTGTGCAAAGGTTGAGACCCACTGACTCTTTCACCTGATTAGGGAAGCCTTCGTGTGGAATAAAGAGACCAAGATATCAAATCTGTAACTAGAGCCGACCCATGCAGTAACGTGTCTTTAGAAATGGTTCGAGGTGACGATATGTCCCTATTGAAATGGTTCGAGGTGACGATATGTCCCTATTGAAATGGTTAAGCTGGAAGCTTCGCGTTCGCATGTGTATAACAGTCAAAAAGGTTTGCTAACGCTATATCAGATATCAGTGAGTCTCTTGGTGATATGTCAGTTCTTTTGTTTATTGTTTATCAGTTTTAGTATCGTAAGATGTTTAGCGAGTTTGTGAGTGATACTTGATTGCTTGATAAATAAAGATATTCCCGTTTAGAGCATACTTTGTTGTATGCCACCCCTGACCTTCCCCCCCCCCCTCCCCCGTCGTCTCGCTTGCTAACCTTTATCCTATCCTAACTCTCCTTGTTAACCTTTATCCCATCCTAACTCTCCTTGCTAACCTTTATCCTATCCTAACTCTCCTTGCTAACCTTTATCCTATCCTAACTCTTCTTGCTAACCTTTATCCCATCCTGACTCTTCTTGCTAACTTTTATCCTATCCTGACTCTCCTCGCTTACCTTTATCCCATTCTCATCCTGACTCTCCTTGCTAACCTTTATCCCATCCTGACTCTTCTTGCTACTTTTATCCGACTATGATCCCTCTTGCTAACCCTCCCATCTCTAGTTACGCCTGTTGTTAGCATTTATACCTTACATAGCTGGAAAAACAGATTTGGTTGGGGTACGGGGTATCACTTGACCAGGCTACACCCGACCTGAATAGACCAAACTATCACCAGACCAAACTACCACTCGACCAAACAACGCTACATTCCATGTTAATTGAAAGAACGAACTAGTTGTCAAAACATTCTAAACATTCAAGTCGAACATTTGTTGGGCGTTCTTGCTGCCATTTTGCCATAGCATCTAGTTTTAACAGTAAACATCTGTATAATCTTAACCTCTTGGACGTTTGTCCAGTTTTCTCCCGCCCCCTGCAACCCCGACACCCCCCCCCCTCCTCCCCCACCCCTTCCAGCTGAGTTAAAGTGTAACAAAAATCTGTTCTGACAATTTAATCACGCGCCTTCGATCACTCCACAAGAGGCGGCTGAGGACTTTTAGACGGCTTCCATCTTGATGTCAGTCACGTGATCGGAGCAGGAGAGAGGCCAGGATTGTTGTGACAGATGGGAGACATTTTTTTTTTTTTGCAACCTGATCGTTTATTTTTACAATATTTAAAATCTATTAGCAAACCTAAGCTTAGCCATAATCTATCCAATTGTCACTATAGTTACGTTATAATTTAACCGTATCTAAAACTCCAGATTGGCTTTAAAGTTTTTAAAAATCCTCCGCTCTGTCTATCTATAGTATAGTTAGGCGTACTTTAATGGTATGTAAGAATGTATGACACAAAGAGGAACAGGAATAGCGGCCATAATCAAGTAGCGTGAAATAACTCCAGACAACTAGTGAAAAAACTTTTTTTTTTTCAAAACGGGAAGTCGTCGCTCATCCCCCCCCCCCCCCCCCCCTTTAATTCAAATGTCGGGCCTGTCAAAGTTTGATATCTCCCAGCGGTGATTCGCTTCACTGACTTCTAATGGTGTGAAATGTAGAAATCTTTTCTGACGATCAAACGTCCGATTTGCCCAATTGAACTCAATTTGTTTTCACCGGTGAGGAATCAATAATTTGTGTGAAATCCTAAACTAACGGCCAACACGGTCGAAAGGCGTGAAATCCTAACTAACGGCCTACACGGTCGAAAGGTTGGCGCCCAAGCAAATAACGAAAGTTTATTTTTAAAACTAGCCACTTTGGATTTTCATTTATAACGTGTCTCTGTGGTTTTTTAAATTGAGGCTTGCTAAAATGTTATTTGTTTCCTTTCTTATGAGTCATTTCAACATGATCACAGACACTAAAACTGAAAGATTTTTCCACTTGTTTTGCCGGCCTACCATGAATGTTTTTTTTTTTAATATTATTTTATTCATTTAAAATCATGCAATCTTTCTGAAACTTTTAATGCATTATAAAAACTTGACATATACAATGCTTCTAAAGCTTAAAAAACAGCATGTAGATCTAGGTTGTTTAGAAAATCTTTTCTATACAAAAATCATTAAATCTTGGATACAATTTTATATGTATTTGTTGTAATAGAGCTAGTATAATCTTGAAATGTTCTGACATTGATTCGTTTTTTAAAATTACTTTCTTGTATAGGGAATATATTGGAAGTATTGTAATCGTGTATAATTTTTATTATTAATTTTTTGAATACATTTATTTTTATAACTATGCCGTTCTTTAGTGTGTCTTATTTGAATAATAATTAAGAGAAGCAATTACTTTTTAAATTCACTTAGTACATAACTATTCAAGGGAGCTTTATGGGCACCCTTATTAGACTATTTTAAGAAGGCAATGAGTCATGTGAGTGGTGTGAACATTTGCTTATCTTACAAACTGCAGCTCATGTAGATTTTTAAAAATATTTTGCTACGCAACAATGTGTGTTAGTTCCTCTAGAACAATCACTGCTATAGTAGACCTTTTTTTTTTACAAAACCACTATTAAGGCGCAAGAAAAAACATTATTTATGAAAAAAAAATCATTGTTTTTTTTTTGCTCGAACTTTGGGCCCCTTTAACGGCCTTTCTCCCCCCCCCCCCTCCCCCCTGGCGGCATGGTAGTTCCGCCCCCCAATAAGTTGCCGATATATGGAAACCGGAAGTGGTACTTACTCCACTAAAAACCTAAAGCAGTCGACTAAATGTTTACTTCTTATTTACTAAATGTTTATTCATTATGAAGCCTGCATCTCCTGCCGTTTTACAAATCCAATTAAGGGTGAAAATATATTTATGAGCAGCTTCTTAACCCCCCCCCCCCACCACGATCCATTCGGTGCCCGGAAACAATAGCTCACGTAATGCTTTAACCCCCTTGTGTATAGCCTACTGAGGCAAAGAGGCTTTCAGTGTTAGATGCTCTTTGCTCAGCGCGGGACCAAAAAGCTCTTTGAGATAAACTTATATAACAAGCTGAGTTTGGTGGTAACGTAGGATAAGCTGTACGGTGTGTTTTTTCTCAATACACCGCTAAGGCCTATTTTCTGTAACTTACTGTATCAGGTTAACGTGGGTGTTTACATCACCCAGATTATTAACATGGTTTGTAAGTCAAGGGGGTAGTGCATTAATTAAAGGCATCACATACAAGAGGAAGGGGTTCAGACTTCATTGATAACATGATACTTTTTTAAAGAACAAACATTTTTAAATGCAGACCTATTTCACAGTGGCGTAGCGAGGTCGGGTGTCGGGTGTCGACCGGTGCGGCACTTAATGGTGTCACCCCCAGAGGCGTAGCGACCCTACCCGGGGACAAACTTTCAACTTTCGATTTGCACCCCTCCCCCCCCCCCCCCCCCTCAAACTTTCGCTCAAACTTTCGATTTGCACCCCACCTCCCTCAAACTTTCGATTTGCACCCCCCTCCCCCTCAAACTTTCGATTTGCACTTCTTAAAACACTATTTAACACTCGAATTAATCTCTTAATTAAGTGGAATTATCATTTTTCTCTATATATTTTGATATTTTTTTGCCTTGGTGTCACCCCCCTAAATGGTGTCACCCGATGCGGCTGCACCCCCCCCCCCCCTATCGCTACGCCTCTGCTATTTCATTATATTGGGGACAGCTGAAAAGCGTCAGAAAACCGTGGATAGTGGAAAGCTTTGACACAGGTGCTATGATCCGCAAGGAACGAAAAGGAAAAAGGAGGAAATTACGTTATTTTTAGAGGCAATCTTTTCGGTGCATGGCTGAGGGGGGGGGGGGGGGGGTACGGATCTTTGTAACGTTATTACTATAGGGTTTAGATTTTACTGCCGATAGAGCGTGGAGGTGGTGGGGTGGTTGTAAAAAAAAAATCTAAAACAGCGTCAGGTTATTTAAGGACAGCCCCGAAATAGGAGACCTAGTGGCGGATCCAGGGTAGGTGCGGCGGGGCAATTAGCCCCCCACATTTTAAAATGGAGATGTGAGTTAAAATATTTACGGGCTTGTATATTCACCCTTCATCTCGAAATGTCAGCGCCCGCCTGTGTATGGTAACGTTTCTTTCTGTAAAAAGTGAAAACATTTGTGTGGACGAAACAATGCATAATTTTTTTTGTAATTATTTTTTTTTTCAGAAGCAAACGGAAGCGCTACAATGACGTTATCTATAGCTGGCCATTGAAAGATGGACACGCCTTGTCAGGAAAAATGTGCACTGTTGATTTTTTACTTCTGCTTCTACGTATGCTACAGCCATTCGGCGGGTGACGGGGGTAAGTAGTCTTGTTATCTGTATGATGTCACGTGACCGCAGTGAGTATAGGGCTGGTAAGTAGGTCAATAAACAGTTGTATGGCTCATGCAGGTTTTATTGAGCCGTAGAGCTAGTAGGGGACCTACTTACCAGCCCTATAGTGTTGTTGTATTACCATATCACGTGACTGAAGTGAGTATAGTGTTGTTGTATTACCATATCACGTGACTGAAGTGAGTATAGTGTTGTTGTATTACCATATCACGTGACTGAAGTGAGTATAGTTTTGTTGTATTACCATATCACGTGACTGAAGTGAGTGTAGTGTTGTTGTATTACCATATCACGTGACTGAAGTGAGTATAGTGTTGTTGTATTACCATATCACGTGACTGAAGTGAGTATAGTTTTGTTGTATTACCATATCACGTGACTGAAGTGAGTATAGTGTTGTTGTATTACCATATCACGTGACTGAAGTGAGTATAGTGTTGTTGTATTACCATATGACGTGACTGAAGTGAGTGTGGTGTTATTCTATTACCATATCACGTATTATTTTGTATTGTAATTTGTGTGGACACTTAGACTTGCTGTATGCCTACATGACGGGGTGCAATGATTTTATAGTTGGAAGGGGGGGGGGGGGAGGGGTTAGAAATATTCTAACATATATATATATATATATATATATATATATATATATATATATATATATATATATATATATATATATATATATGTGTGTGTGTGTGTGTGTGTGTGTGTGTGTTTGTGTTATTTATTTATTTATTCATTCATTTATTCATTTATTTAATTACGGTAACAATAGTAGGCACGGAGGCCTTTTTTCACATTGGCCGTTTTAAAATAAACAAATAAAACAACAATTTAATAACAGCACTTAAAAAAAAGCAATAGCATAGTAATGACATATCAGTAACATAGCACTAAAAATGTGGAATAAAGAAATAATATTACATATTTATAATACAAAATCAGATAACATAATAATGAAATAGATGAATGAGAAATGTTTCAATGAGTCAGAGAGGTCATTAAATAATTGTTGTTTTAGTTTAGTTTTGAATATATTTTCAGATCTAGATAGTTTTATTTTATTGGGAAGATTGTTCCACAAATTAGAACCAGAGTAGGCGAAGCTATGTTTTTGGAAAAAAGTTGTATATGGGATCGGTAAATTAAGACGACGATTTAATTTTGTGTTAAAAGAAAATAGGTCTGATAAGTAAGATGTGTGTGTGTGCGTGTGTGTGCGTGCGTGCGTGTGTGTGTGTGCGTGAGTGTGCTTCAAAACGTAAATTTATAGTTTTAAGATCATAACTGTTTTAAAACAAATCTACATCAATGAAAGCGGTTTAAAGCTTTAGTTAGCGTCGACATTAGCTGTTTGTAACAGATGTTATTTTTAGGGTCCGTGGATTGTTTCTTCTAGACTTTTTTCTCGGGTGGGGGGTGGGGGGGGGCACAAAAGAATGATGATGAACTAAAATTTCCGGGCGGGGGGGGGGGGGAGCAGACACTGTTAAAAGTATATATTTTCTATATAAATTCCATTTCGTTCGGACTCTGGGCCCGTGTGTATGTTGGAGGGGGGGGGGGTGGTCCTAGCCTTTCATAACACACCCTGCCTAGGCCACAGATAGGTGGTATGGATAAACAGTAGTGTACACAGCTATTTAGTAAGTCGGTTATCGCCTTCGATTGGGTATCGTCCTTTCTCGGATTTTGACATTTCCGCTTTGTTTTTTGTTTTTTGTTGTTTTTTTTTTTTTTTTTTTTTTTTTTTTTTTTTTTTTTTTTTTTTTTTTTGCTACTCACCATTGACTATAATTAATCATCAACTTGACTAGTAAAACAATGTTTTATCTCGATATAATATATCGATTTTATGTTCGCAGTCGTGTATCCACAAGACCCTTTCAAGTTTGTTGGAGAATCCCTAGAATTATTCTGTAACATAACAAACAAGGACATCCGCGAAAACTCCTCCTCGCTCTACTTCATGCGATCTATAACCAGCTATGCAAGCAAGGAATACTCTCCTTTTGAAGGCGGGAAAACTCGTAACGGTAAGTTAAAAACTTGATTCACACTGCACAAATCACGTGCGGCGTCACAACGGCCAATGACAAAACGGCCACCGACATAAGAGTCCCGTCAAATCGACCCCGTCAAAAGGACCACCGACAAATGGACCCCGGCATATAGGCTCCCGAAAAATAGGCTCCCGTCATTTAGGCTCACAACAAATAGGCTCCCGTCATAGAGGGTCCCGATAAAAGGGCTCCAGTCAATAAGGTTCCCGACAAATAGGCTCCCGTCATTTAAGCTCCCAACATATAGACTCCAGCCGGTTCCATGACAAATGATTTCAGGACAAATGATCTCAGACAAAAAATCTCAGACAAAATATCTCACGGACAAATGATCTCAGGACAAATGATCTCAGGACAAATGATCTCAAGGACAAATGATCTCAAGGACAAAAGATACCAGGAAAAAATATATCAGGACAAATGATATCATGGACAAATGATCTCAGACAAAATATTTGTCTGAGATCATTTGTCCTGAGATCATTTGTCCTGTCACCCTCCAGCCAATTTGGCTCTCGACAAAACGGCTCCCATCATTAAGACTCTCGATAAATAGGCTCCCGTCTTTTTGGCTTCCGACAAAATGGCCCCTGTTAATAAGGTTTCCCCAGAAACTAAATCTCCCTGCAACACGTCCCCTTCATCAATACTCTTTAGAATTAGCTAAGCCAACACTCTTAAGTAACACAACGTTTGCATTTCTTGTTAGGCAGGCCTTATTTTAATATTGTTTTATCTAGTATAAGAAATAATGTTTTAAATTTAAGGGTCATCTATCTATGACTTCCATAATTGAGTCGGCTATAGGCTGTTCCAACTCAGTGTTTGGGGAGAAGGGTCCACGCAGTACATTCCTACCTGCAGTATGCTTGTAGGTTATCAAAACAAACAGTGGCATAGCGAGGTCGGGTGTCACCCGGTGCGGCACTTAATGGTATCACCCCCCCCAGAGGCGTAGCGTCGATTTGCACCCCCCCCCCCTCAAGTTTTCGATTTGCACCCCCCCCCCCCTAAAACTTTCGATTTGCACCACCCCCCTCAAGTTTTTCTCTATATATTTTCCTATTTTTTGCCTTGGTGTCACCCCCCTAAATGGTGTCACCCGGTGCGGTCCGCACCCCCCCGCCCCCCCCCCCCCCCTCGGGTTACACCATTTAGGGGTGGTGACACCTTGGTAACACCAAGGCAAAAAATAGCAAAATATATACAATTACATCCCTATTGATAACAATAATAGCATTAGTGGATGGAAATGTTCAACTGTTAACATGATTAAAATTATCCAATTTTTGTTTTGTATTTTTTTTTCTGCAGAATACGTCATGATCCCAGCACAGAAAACAGAAATTCTAACAACTAAGTCAATCTTACTGCGGTTGAATAATTTGACCATCGATGATGACGGAGCATATGTTTGCTTTCAAAAAAAGTATGATTCACACAAGCCGGATTTTATTGGAAACCAGATCGTCAAAATAGATTGTAAGTATTATCATGCATGATTAATTGCCTGATTAGCAGATGGATTATTATTATAGTGAGTAACTAGTAACCATAGAAAATATTAAACTCGGTAGATCCAGTGTTTTTTTTTCAGACTTTTTTTCCCGGGGGGGGGGGGGGGGCATTTGAAATTTTCGGAAAGGGGGGCGGACTAAATTTTCCAGGGGGGGGGGAGTGGGGGCGTACACTAGTAAAAGTATATATTTTTATATAACTTCTATTTTCATCCGGAGAGGGGGGACGGTAGACTCTCTTCGGGGGGGGGGGGGAGGGGGAGAAGAGATGCCTGGAAGAAAATCTGGGTAAATCTCAGTCAAGTTTAACCTGTGGGAACTTGGCGATCACCAGCTGTGCTAAGGCGAACTTGGCAAAATAAATGAAAACATTGATTGAAATGCCATGATAACTTATGAAATATCAATAAAAAAAATTAACAACCACAATAACAAAGTAGCTCAGTGGCAAAGCTAGGGGAGGGAGGGTGGGACGGCCGCCCAGGGCTACGACTCTAAGGGGCGCCAAAAGGGATAGAAAAATTAATTGAAAAGCTCATTTAAAGCTGAAGTATTAAATTATATACAGTCAAAGTTACGAAATAAACGACTTAAAGGTTTTTCACATTGATTTAACTATTTTTATATCAATTTTGTGGCGCTGAAATAGAAAATCTAATGGGATAGTAACTGGTAAAAAGCTCCACAAACCTTTCCAATTTATTTACTTATGGGGGGGGGGGGGGGCTTTTTCAAAGACAGGAATATCTATAAATAGAATAGGAGGGAGGGGCACAAAATTGTATATTCCTCCCCGGGCGCCAGAATCGGTCGCTACGCCTCTGAAGTAACCTAGAAACAATTTGAAAAAAAATTAGACCATTGGTCGCTCATAAAATCTCCTGCACATTTTACCGACCAATGCTCTCTACTTTTATTAAGTAAAGCAAATAAGTTTTATTTTCTTATTTTCAGTGCATTCTAAACTTATTTTCAGTGCATTCTAAACTAAAGTTTATTATAATAAAGTATTTAAATTTTTAAAATAGATTCTGCGTTTTTATCATTGGATTTCACAAGAAAATCAAGGGAAATAACTAGAATTACATCTTTTTATCTTGTGTATTCACAGATAGGCCCAAAAAAGTTGCAAATATAGACTGCACTGTATATAACTGGGAGAGTATGAAGTGCACATGGAATCTTGGTGTCACTTTCCGACACCCTGAAAATATTAATGTTTCACTTGTTTACACGTACGAGTAAGTTGATTTAAATCATTAATCGTTTGCATATAATGATGGTGCGACGTCACACTTTTGCTTTATAAATAAGAAATGTTAGAAAACTAATTTTAGACGTTATTTTTATCGTTTTAGAAAACAGTTTTAATAAATTATAATAGGAATCGATTAAAATACTCTATTTTGACATATTTCAGACAAGATTTTGGAAAAATATCGATGTTTAAAAAAAATTCAACTGCAATTTTGAGGGGGGTGTAGGCTGACGTGTGACGTCATTTTAGGGGGGGGGGGGTCTGGCTTTTTGTGACGACGTGTAACGGAGGGGAGGGTGGGGGAGGTAAAAATCGTAAAAAAAGCGTGACGTCATTTATGGATGACCCCTTAGAATCAATATTACTTGTATCATTTACAAATATTTTTAAGCGATTTTTTTATGAAGTTTCTTTTCTTTCAGCCTTCCTGAAACAAACCCCTCTTATTGTGTTTGGTATTATAGTTTTATTTTTACTACGTAAAACAAAAAAATATATAACCAATATATGATTATAAACTCACAACTAAGTGAATGTAAAAATGTTTGGCTTGTAACTTCAAACTGAAGAGCTGCATAAGCATTACACTTACAGCACCTTACAAAAAATGTTTTGTTTGCTTTAAGCTAAAAATCAAAAGTATTAACATGCAAATGGTAAATGGTTAATGAATGTTGTCTTTTTTTTTTAAATATATTTTAAGTCAAGTACGTCACACATGCCACAACTTTACATGTAAATAAAATATGGGCTGTTAAGATTTTTGACTTGTATCTTTTTCAATATTTTTTTTAATTTAGTAAAGTAAATTTTTCTTTTGACATTGTTTTATTCTTCTTTCAGCTCTCTATACCAATCCCTTCTTATTATGTGTGGTATTAAAGTTTTATTTTTACCATGTCAAACAAAAGGATAATTATTAAACTATCAGATGATTTTAAAGTATAAACTTAAAACTAAATGAATGTAAAAATGTTTGGTTTATAACCTGAAATTGAAAAGCTGCATTGTTTTGTCTGCTCTAAGATACAAAATAAAGTATTAGCTTTTTAATGGTAGATGGTTAACATTCTCATTGTCTTTTTTTATCATTAAGTCTGGTGGGTCATATACTTTGCCAGTAAAAATTGAAAAAGAAAACTAGTTTAAACAAAGACAATAGACCAATTTGGTGATAAAGATCCAGATTTATGTCTGTGTTTTTAACCAGAAGCAGATTTAGTCACTGAAAAAAAAGTTAAGCAAGGCAATTGATATCACATACCTCCCTCCCCACTGAAAATATTTAACTGACTATTTTTTAAAGTTTAAGGTTAGTTTATGTATTTTAAAAAGTAGGTACAAAACATTGGGTGGAAACATCCAAGTGATGCATTTCAAGTTCAAACCAACATGGTAAAATGACTTTCAGAAAAATTTAAGCTTGATTTAATATTGATGATCGCAGTTAATGGGATTTCAACTGCAGCATTTTTTCACTAAGTTATGATTATTTTGACAAGCCTTCTCATCTTCTTGCCGTAAAATAAAGACTTGGACTGTACCAAGACTTGGACTGTACCAAAACTTGGACTGTACCAAGACTTGGACTGTACCAAGACTTGGACTGTACCAAGACTTGGACTGTACCAAGACTTGGACTGTACCAAGACTTGGACTGTACCAAGACTTGGACTGTACCAAGACTTGGACTGTACCAAAACTTCGACTGTACCAAGACTTGGACTGTACCAAGACTTGGACTGTACCAAGACTTGGACTGTACCAAGACTTGGACTGTACCAAGACTTGGACTGTACCAAGACTTCGACTGTATCAAGACTTGGACTGTACCAAGACTTCGACTGTACCAGCTTACATTTGACCTCTCAGTTTGAGTACCAAATATAAAATTTCATTCTACAAAGCAATAATTTTGTAAGATATAAAAAGTTGTTTATCTGCTTAGTAACAATAGAAATGTAGATGTGAGAAATGTTACCTCTATAAAATATTAATAATCAGGAAACTAAAGTGTTAGCTAATTCTTCTTTTTAAATTATTGTTGAAATATATAATCCTAATTTATTAGTAGGCTATACCCCAACAATACAAAGTTACTTTAATATATTATACCAGTCTTTTGTATGATTCTCACCCAATGTACAGCTATGAAACGTCATTTAGTTTTAATGTACTAACAATTATTGTTCGTAAACATGTACTTTAACTGTACTAAAGCACAAACACATGAGCGTATAACTGTATGATAACTATCTAATTTCATATTTTATACTGATTTGATAAGGTTTTGGTGACCTGCTAATTAATTAAACTCATTATATTACTGATATGATAATGATCCCATGGGCTTGAATACATGCTTAAGCCTTGTTGTTTTATGCAAAAGTGCTTTTCAAATGTATTTGCTAACTTGGATGCTTCTAATAAAATCTACTTACAATCACTAATAACAATCAAGTGTTTAAAAAATGATTTCTAAATCGTTTAAAGAAAATGTATCTATATATTACAACACCTAAGTTAGTGATAATTTAGTAAAAGGGTAAGCAACTCATGTCAAAAACTAGTGACAGTAAAAGTTTTTCTAATATGTTGCCCCTGAAGGGATTATCCCACAAGTAAAGAAAAGTTTAATCTGTATACTCAACCCCTCCATATGGCTAGGTAAAGGGTCAAATTTAACTTAACAACACACAAGTCACTACAGCCTGAATGGGATTTTTTATTAATGAACAATTACCCATTAAGAATTAAAGCTGTTTCATGACAAAGAATTTACTTGGAAATATAATTTTTCCATGAACCCAGGTTACAAAGATAAACTCATGTTTCTGGATATAAATTTTCAATATTTTTTTCAGCAAAGACTTTTTAAAATTATTCGATTAAAAAATCATGTTTTCATTTATTTCAGTATACATCAGAAAGATTGCCCTCATTAAAAATAATATTTTAATTATTTCAGTGGTCATCAGGAAGACTGCCCTCGTATGACCCCAACATCTTGTGAGTGGCCTAAGCAAATCTACTTGCATGGTCAGCTGTATTACATGAAGCTTGAAGTCAAAACAATAGTAAAAAATAGAGTACTGGCTGAAGCAGTGTCTGACCAGTTTCGCATTGAAACTGTTTTATATGGTATGTTTAAAACAATCAGTTCAAATAGTTTTGACATTGAAACTTTTATATGATATGTTCAGAACTATCAGTTTAACTTGTTTTAACATTAAAACTGTTTTATATAGTATGTTCAGAACAATCAGCTCAAACTGTTTTAAGCTAAATATTATTATGCAATACATAATCCACTTTGTACCATGTATAGCTGTGTAATTGTGAAAGTAAACATGGATCACTAAATTATTAAACATTATTCCACAGATGGTTTTAAATAACTTTCAATTTTTTGTGCTTTGAAATTTTAGACTTCTTTGTTTCCAAATAAATAAATAACTTGTTTTTTTAATAATTTAGAATTTTGAGTAAATCTTAAAATAGGCAAATAAGATTTACAATCATAAATGCCAAAAAAAGATCTAAAATTAAGGAAAAAATTATGGCCATGTAAATAGGAAATTTGTCTTACAGAAACCTCAGGTGTTCATTTATCTGCAACAAATGTACCTGATCATAAGGTTGTAGCACGTTGTAAGTACTTAAGTGCCAGGACTTCCATCCAAGAATTAATAACTGATCAAACTTGATGTAGAATTTATAGAGGGTTTTGTATTGGTATTAAATAAAAATACATAAAATAATTGAGAAATTTTAAAAAGAAATTTTAGTATTTTAGCTTTTCAAATATTTTTTTTTGTATGTGAATATAAATCACCTTCGTTGACTTAAAGTTGGACTTAATTATGACAGTTAAAATGTTGGAACATGTAAATAATGTTTTCATCTTAGCTATTCAGCTTTCAATAATTTCAAAGAATTCGAAATCTTCTTATTGTATCTAAAGAGGCTAAACTTTACTTTTAGAAATAAAAATATCTGAAGCTGATTGTACTAAGTTAGTTTATAAACTATTCACGTCTACTATTAAGTTAATAAGTAAATAATATTATAACTAAATTAAATCAATGTCCTTGGTTTCATGTGAAGAATGGAATGAATATAAGTCAAAACACAAATTCCGCAAAATTTAAATGGTACAGAAACAAAATTGTTTTTAATTTGAATATTGATATCACGATTTTGTAATTAATACCAAAATAAAACCCTGAATAATTGTAGTTTCTAATTATTTTGCTCAATCATTTTTTATTGCTAAGATGTAAAAGGTAAGTTTCTTACAGAAATGTAGAGTTAGATTGACTATAGATAATTTTAGTGCTCGAAAGATTAATTTCTAGTTAGAATTACTTTCTTAAATAATTTTTTTTTTCATTTTCTGTTATATTTTGCCCAAGCAAACACTTTTTGTTTTAAAAGATATTACTATTGATACTAGATTGTTAATTTTATATTTCAGTTATTCATTGCATCAACTAAGCCTAAAAGGATGTGATTTAATATTAACTTTACACATAAGTTAATAGTTTTTTTAATAGATAAAGTAATGACAATTTTATACCTTGAAGAGATTAGTGATAGTGTATAGTAATAATTTAAGACATTCACAATATTTGTATTACTTACTATAATACTTTTTTTTAAAATGATAGCTAAATTTTGCAAACTAAGAATGAAAGTAGTTTCTAGGTTTTATATTTTAATTTAAGCTTCATAAAGTATATTTTAATAATTTCAAATTTAGCTGCCTTCACTATTTTTTTAAAAAATAAAATAGATTTTTAATCTTCCATGATTATTTTTTCACATCTTTACGTGTTAATTTACTTTGCAAAATAACACATTAGTAAAAATATCTTTCTTTTTTATTTTTTTGCTTTCTTTAGTAGGCTAATCTGTTTGTTTAACTACTCTTTCTAAAAATTATGCTATTCAAATGAGTGAAAATGTTATTTCCATCAACATACAAGATAAATAATGTTTTAATTGTGGCTTTACAGTTGCAATAGAAAATCTTAAGGCCAATTGTGCATGAAATGAACATTAGAATAGCATTTAGTTTTGTGGTTTGAAGTCTTAAATATGGCTATTAGAACAGTTATAGAAAGCTTATGGCCACATGTTTAATATGTCTAAATTTTTTGTGCTCTTTATTTTAGTTTTTAATCTGTTCTCCTAACTGAAATAATTTTTACTCTTCAAAAATAGTCATATTCTTTATCATTAATTTTGTTAAATGACAATTATTTCACTAAATTAAGTTCCAGGTTAAATTATGAATAGACTGTTTAATTAATTTTCTTTTTTAACACACATTATTCTTTCTTACTTTCACACATGACTGAAGTTAATCAAAAGCAAAATAAAAGATCCCGTGGCTTCAGTGACACAAACTGTATTTTTGAAAGCAGCAAACTTTAACAAACCCATGTAATTTGGACACTTCAATGGTGTGACCTTTTAACTTCTTTTTCAGCAAACTGAATAGAAACATTCAAAAAAAATTATAAAATCAGAAGGAAAATAAGGGGGAAAAACAATTTAGTTTAGCTTGTAAAAACGAACACCTTTTTTTAACAACACACATTTTTTATTTCACATGGCAGCATATGTTTCAATAAAAATTTTATGACTCGTGTATTCAATTGAATTTAAACTGAATTTTCAGTGAAGCCAGCTCCAGTTAAAGATTTGAAAGTTGTAACTTCTAACAGCACATGCATCCAACTTAAGTGGAAACACTCATCAAATCCTGAAAGAAAAAAGTTTTACAAAATAGTTTATGGGATCAAAGGACAAAATCAGACATCGGTAATTTTCAACTTTGTTGTCACTACTTAAAAAAATTATTATTATCAGTTTTATTATTAGTATAAAATCTATATTTAGCTAAGTAATACTCAAATACTTGTAGCTATGCAAATAAAAAATAAAAAACTAGCCTGTTAATAAAATTAAGTGTCTTTGGAGTTTCAGATAAAAAAAATTAATGTTTGCGTGGTCTGGTAGGTTAGGCTCATAGTTGCTGAACTAAAAAGTCCTGAATTCGAACCCTCTGGCAGATGGGGCTCGATAGCTGGGGACAGCCACTCATCTAGGAGAGACAACTCCAAAATCAAACAACTGCTGCCTAGAATTAAGAACGAAGAAGAAGTGAAGAATCTCAAAATAAATGTTATATAGTTATGATCCACAAATACTGTTGTTAACTAAGTTTGGGAACCAGTACTGTGTTTGGATTAGCATATTTATGAGCAGTGTCTTATTTATCTTCACCAGAACATAACAGAAACCAACATGGAAAAGCTATTCTGTAACCTTATTCCATACACAAGATATGAGTTTGAAATCACTGTGTCACCTGCATCAGAAGAAAGTTCAGAAACTCCATCTTCATATTACACCAGTGACAAAAACTCTATAATTGCTAATACATCAGAAGATGGTAATACAATTTACTTCTATAAATTAACTTATAAACTTATCTATAGACCTGCAAAATGTAATGTATCATTAAAACTTTGTTTTTTCTTTCCCTTTATTACTCTTTCTAAACTATGATAGGATTTTATTTTTTCTCTCTGTAACCAGTATTTGAAAATCTAAAATTACTTTACAAAATAAAAATTGTTAAATAAACTTCTAAAAATTGCAATTAATGAATCTTCTAATATCTTTTAGTACCTGGAGCTGCACCTAAAATTTGTAATGGCTGTTTTTATGAAGATGTGAATAGATGCCTAGGAATAAAATTTAAGAGATGCATTGACATTTACTGGCAAGATTTGTCTCCGAGTGAAAAGAATGGTCTAATAACACAGTATAGAATTAGGACAACATCCAAAGAAAAAAAACTCAACACAGCTGAACTTCTCAATGTGTCTAACATACATCTCACTTCCAAAGAGTTCATTCTTCCAGAAAGTGACTTTCCAATAAACATCAGTTTGACAGCAGGCACAAAAAAGGGACTATCGCTACATTCTTCAGAATTAGTTATTCCATCAAGACTAAAAAGTGAGTCAACTTTATTTTATATATAAATTAAACATCAGATGCTTTAAGCAGAAAAAGATGATTTGATAAAATAAAACAATTAAATTAATCAAATATAAAAAATTTGACTTCGAAATATTAATACTTTAAGTTGTAAACTATTTATCCCTAAATGTTGATACTTACAGCCAAGTAAATAAAACTAGTTAAAATAATTTTCTAAAATTGGCAAATCTCTGATATTTAAATGTAAAACTGTTAGAAATCAATACATAGGCCCCTACACTAAAAGATTGTTGTTAGAATCACATGCAACACAAACAGAAAACTTTTAACATTAGCTATTCGTGTATGGTTAAGACAAGTCTCATCTTACATTACTGTCAAAAAATTTTATTTACAGAGCCCAAACCCCCACAGAGTTTTCTAGTAGAGGTGGACAACAAAGATGAAAAACTCAAATATTACCTCAGCTGGGCGGCTTTGGACATGAGTAAAAGAACAGGATCACCTTATTTCAGCATAACTGTTGTGTGGTGTGAGGGCAGAAACAACAAGTGTAAAGTAAGCAAATCACAAGAACTGAACTGTGTTCAAGTGGTTTAGTGCTTTATTATTATTTATGGATTGTTTCGGAAACACAAATCTCAATTTGTTTAGGCTGTGTAACAATAGCCATTTTAATCTAATTAAATCCTGTAGAAACTTTTTTAAGCTAGTTAAATCCTTTTTACCATAAAAGAATATACAGCTAAGGTTATAATTGCTTGCTTATGATTTATATATATATATATATATATATATATATATATATATATATATATATATATATATATATATATATATATACAACCATACATATATATCTTAGTGTGTTTGAATTTATATATAACATATGTCTGTGTGTACTATAGAAAAGCTGAATTAAAGTTAAAGTTAAAGTGTTGTTAATATTTGTAATTTTTCTAAACACTGGGAAATTTATACTTTATTTTACTCTAATTTAGGGTGATATAAATTGGAAAATTCTGACTCCTGACAGAGTTACCTGTGTGCTAGGAGCTGACATTGAAAAAACGAGGTTTAGAGAAATTTTGATTGGCATCACAGCTGAAGTTTACATAAATAACTCTGTACTGAGCAGTGGGATTTTGTGGAATAATTGTATATACTTCCGGAATCAGAGTAAGTGTATTGAGATAGGAATTTTTTTTAAACTGACTTTTGACAGTGTTGTGTGCTTAAAGCTGACATTAAAAAATAAGGATTCAGAGAAAACAAACTATTTTTTTAAATATATAAAAAAAATATTTACACAATTTTTTCTTCCAAATAGACCAATAAAATAATCTAAATGTTTAGATTTTAAATTTCAAAACAGCTAATGCAATATTATTATTCATATCAAAACATTTTACATTTTTTTTTATGAATTATTGTGGGTTTTTTTCCTTTTTATTTTCTTTCTTTTTTATTCTTGTATTGCTTTTTTAACTAAATTAATGTATTTTATTTCTAAATTATAATTTTTTATAGAGCCTCAAAAACCTCCTACAGTTTATCTACACAATTCTGGGTTTGCTGAAAATAGTTTAAATGTTACGTGGGAAAAATTTGACTGCATTGAAAATCCAAGTTATATCACTGAATATTTGGTTAAATACTGTGCTACATTTGACGGAAAAATGTGTCGGGGTAAGTTTTGACTTTTAAAAAAAAAATTCTTCTAGCATTTACACATGCTATGAACTGTCAAAATTAGCCAATTCTAATTGATATAGCCTATAGGCTAGCATTTAACTTTTTCAGCAGTTGTTGAGTCAATGAATATTTATAATTAGCATTAATTTATGAATATCAATATAAATATTTAGGCCTTTTTATAATAAATATCATATATATATATATATAGGCCTATATATAATATACATCATATATATATATATATATATATATATATATATATATATATATATATATATATATATATATATATATATATATATATATATATATATATATATATATATATATATATATATATACTTTTACATATCTATAATTGATTCTTTTACAGAGTCCGAACATACCCAAAATGTTAGTAACAGTAAAACCAATACAGTATTATATGACTTGAAAGGGAATACAAAGTACATGGTGTATGTCATAGCAGTGTCTGCAGCAGGACTGGGCAATGCTAGTCAGCCTTTAATGCACGAAGTCAAGCTCATAGCTGCAGGTAATATCATATGTTTGTTATTTTAAAAATTGTTGGTAGATAAGTTTGTATATCATGGTATGTTTGGATGATGGCAGTAAAAAACAACTAAGCTAAACAAAATAGAAATTAGATTATCATAATATATATGTATTAATATATTTATACACCGAATACAGATTCCTATAAACTTACTTTAGAGATTACTTTTGAGGAATTAATTTATTTTATTTTATAAAGCAGAATTACCATTCTTTATTAGCATAATTGGAAATATTTTTAAAACTGTGTAATTTATTCTTATTAACCATTTTCCAATGTATTCTCTCTGATTATGCATTATTTTTTCCTAGAGCAAAGTTTCGGTCAGACTGTTGGAATTACAATTGGAATAATCGTGATATTGTTTTTTATTCTTGTGCTTTACATGTTATGGAAGTTAGTATATTGTAACATTTAATCTTAATATTATATTTATTATTATATAGTATTTATTATATAGGTTTTTTTCCTATAGTATTTTTTAGCGTTAATCAAATACATCAGATAATATTTTGCTTTTCTCTTTTTCAGATATTGTGTTGGACGAAGGAAAAAAATTCCATCTATAGAAATAGAACCTTATGCCCAGACTCAGGTAAATGTAAAGGCAATTTTTTAAATGTTTAAATATCTTTATCAAGAGGTTTAAAAAAATATATTGAAAACAGTAATAGTAAAATCACACATTCAAATGTGGAGAAAAAATCTTTAAAAATGAAAGGCAAATCAGATACCACTTACCACTTCTAAAATCTATTCCTGTACCAATAACTAAATTACAGAATTAAGCTAAGAAAAAAAATTTAAATTTCAATTATTTAATTATAGATAAAATAGAATTTGACTTTTTCTCCTTTTACAATAGGTTGGCAACTACTCTGAATATATTACTTTTTCTTGAAACTAGGCATCCATATGAATGTTTTAAATAAACTGGGAGTGATCTCCCATAAACATTATCGAATATTCTTATATAAAACAACAGGGGATGGGAACTCGGGATATAGTTATGATTTTTAATCCATTTTAAATACTTAAAATTTTTAAAAATAGAATAGAATCTCATAGAAAAAAGAATTGCGCACCAAGCGAACGCAAAAACAAAATGTGCATAATAGTGTGAAATATTATTTTTATTAGTTTATAAATTTACATGCGTTTTTTGAGAAATTGGAAATAGCGTAAAAGTATCACTTCCAGTTATCGGAAATTGCTCAAAAGTTGATACGGATCTACGATTTTGATATAATACTTATATATGAAATTTCATCAACCTAGCTGTAACAGTACTCAAGTTATCATGTTTACACACACACAGACACACTGGCAGAATTGGATAATCCAGTTTTTCCTACTCCATTACGCATAAAACGCCAAAATTTTGATAAATCTGGATTTGTAATGTTTGCCCGATTAAAATTAGACCTCTATATCCTGGATGTGATGAAGGACTGAGGAGTAAAACGGTGAAAACTGTCAAAATTTCATGTTATTTTTGTGCAAGATTACAATACTTTCTCTATACTCTGTATACGAGAAAGTAAAAATTGTATTTATCTACTTTTTGGATAATTTAATTATGTTTCATCCTAAAACTTTAGCAATTTGAGCAACTTGATTTGAATGTTATAAAACTGATGAAACAGTTATTTCCCTCCCCCACAGAAATTAACCATTAAAAAGCCCCAAGATTACCGCAACCGCCCTTTGCCTAAAACACCTTCACAAGAACAACACTTTTATGGTTTGTCTACGATGAATGTTACATGTGCTTGCTGCCAGTGTTTTCCTTTAAGTTTATTTTTTTGAGAAACATTTTGGCAATGTTTAGGTTATATATCTCCTCTGTAATTTTTGTTGGCATTTTAATCAGTTTATTTTGCAGGAATTCTTCTGCTTTTTTGTATTTTCTTTTTTTTTTATCTTATTCAACTTATTGTTTGAAGTCTCAATTTCAGAAATAGAAAATTATTACCAACAGCACAAATTAAGCTTTTATTCCCAAAAGAAGTTTATTGTGAAAAGAAAAAAAATAATTTAAAGAAACTGTTAAATTAAATATACTCAAGTATGTAAAATATAGCTATTTCACTATGATATGGAGTAAATACATTGAGAAAAACACATTGCTGTGACCTGTTTATTTCTGAAGTAGTTTTACACATTTTTGTGTCACTTTTTTAACTTTATAAGCTACAGAATGGCCGCAGTTGTGTTTAAAATTTAGCATTGCAGAAAGTTTGATTTCACAAGCTACATTCGATTCCTTTTTTTAAAAATGTGAATGTATGAAGTATATCTGTTAATTACGATCATTGTAATACTCCTTGTGCTTTATGTAAAAATAAATATTATTTAAAAGTAGTAACAAAGTTAAATAGCAGTTTGCAAGTAGATTTATTAGCATATTTTCTATAAAATAAAACTATTACATTAACTATTTTAAGTTGTAAAAGTTAAATTAGGCACATTATTCAAAATACGAACATATTCACATAAAGAGTAAATTTTATTTTTTACTTTGTTATTGATGTGCTTTGAGTTTCCTTGATCTTTGATGTAAAAAGTTTTGCTTCCCATCTCTGCTTATATAAATATGCATGTACCCTTTTTGTTTATAAGAGATTTTGTATTTAAGCTTCTGAGGGGAAAAAATTACATTAAGAAATGAAGCCTGCAACCATGCAAGCAATATTTCTCTTACTTTGTCATGTTCATTTATTTTTTAGAAACTCATCAATAAGGAAATTACCAAGAATTTAAATTCAAGCACAATCCAAGAATTATTTACTAACAAATTATGTTACAAATATATGTATTTTCAAAAAAGAATTAACAAAATGCAATTTTAAACCGAATTGTTGTGTTGTTTTACTTTCTAAATTTCACACACACACAAAAATATATCTTCTTTTAATCTTTTTCAGAACAACCATGGGTATAGAGAAAAGCAAGAAGACTTTAACTATGACAGCTCATCTGAAGCAAGTACAACACCTCAGGAATCTCTGTGTTTTAATCAACTTCAAAAGAAATGTTTTAATCCACTACAAAAGAAATGCCTTGTGAATGACGACGTAACTAAAAAATTGCTGACTGCTACGGAAGGTTCTAAAGAGTATAGCAGTGAGCCTTCGCATGGGTACACACGTAAAGTCCCACCTAAAGATTTCACATCTACTTCTTGTGAAGAAGGAATAAAGTTTTGTCCTAAAAACATTTTTCATCTGCAAAATGAAAAATCAGAAGCACTACTAACTAATTTTGGAGAAGAAAAATCGGAATTATCTAAATCTAATTCAGATAATATTGATGACACTGCTCTATTGGGAGAACAAAAATCAGAGATATTAAAATATAATGCAGGCAATATTGATGACTCTGGTCTTCTGGAAAAACAAAAAATTGAAATATTGAAATCTAATTTGGGCAATGTTGCTGACTATATGAAATTCTGTCTGCCCCAAGGGCTATCACCAAATGGATTCATAAAACCAGCAACAGATTACATCCCTTTTGATTCAAAATCAAGGGACATTAGTGCTAAAGGTACTCTTCCCTTGAGACACTGTAGTGCACAAGATATTCCCAACAGCAGGTTAATAGAGAGAAACCCACATTGTTTAACTAATGAGCACCCATCCAACAAAAGAAGTGTAATAAAAGCCAATTTACCAGTCACAGACTATGTCAAAATTTTCCCGCCTGATTTATGTGAAACTACACTTTCAGTAGGGCAGGCTGGGTCTAACACCACTGATTACCTACCGGTTAACAGTTGCATTCATTCACACTCACCTCTCATTAAACCAACTAATACATTGTCAACATCATCTTTTGACTCATGTGACCACGTGATATATTCTGACCAAGCATTACCTTGCGAGGGTAGCAGTAAAAACCCTACTAATTTTTCCGGTGTTTATATATCAGTCAGCAGCATTCAAGATTTTTCATCTGTACATTTGTTCACCCCATCTCATTGCCATGATAGTCCAATAGTTTGGGAAAAAGCCAAAGAAATCGGGTCTTACAGAGGGTCAACAATTCAATTAGCTAACACTCGACCACTCAGTGGAGTTCTGCTTGACTTGCCGCCTGCATATTACTTAGATCAAAATCACTACGGTCATTACATGACAACAGAATTATAATCGTTCTTGTATTCAATTTGTGGTTTAACTTTAAAGATGAAGTAATTAAATAGTACTCACTCAACTATTTGTAAGTTATTCTTACTTTTCCTCTTCCATTTAAATGCACAAACCAATTATTTCAGGTCAATCTTAAAATAAAAACTTGACTTCAGAATAAAATTTAAATAAATCCAAATAAAATTCACAAAAATATTTTATTTAAAATGATACATATTTAACTATTTAATATAAACATTTAAATACTAGTAGTACAATAAGTTACAGAAAGCAAAGAAATATGTTTAAAATTAATTTTTAAAATGTGTTTGAATTGATTTTGAATATTTTAAACATAATGCATCATCTACTTTCATATTTGTAAGTTAATTCTTTCAATATAAAAATTTAAAAATGCATTTTATTTTTAAAATGTGCTTTTACGCTTTGTAGCATAAAGCTACTTAAATTTTAAAATATTTTTTCTCTTATTTCTGCTTCTTAATTGTTTAAAACTGTATGACCATTTGTTAATATAATTAGGGCTTTTATTGGTATGTTACAGATGGGTTGTGAATAAATTGAAGTATTAGTTTCATGTAGTTTATTTTTTGCTTTTCATTTGTATGACAGTTTTTAGTACTTTTGAGTTAGCAGTGTTCCAATAATCAAATAGCTGGTGTTGCAACAAATTTAGGGCTAAGTCAAGTTAGTATTATGTTTAGGTTAAATTATTATTAGTAGGCCAATTTGTGATTTGATTTTGAAATCACTGCTAACAAAAAGTACAAAATAATTATTCCCTGTGCAATATGTATTTATGTAATAATGAACGTTTCATCCAACATATGTTTCTGTTTAATTGTTTTTGTCAGTGTCTAGTGATTAATTGATTCCACTTTTATAAATGTATGGCTTGAGCTTTAATTTGAATTGGTATGTGATTGAAATGACGATGTCAATGATAAACTATATATAATGTATATGCTGTTCTGATTATTATTGACTTTTTACATTTTGTTGAAATAAAAAATAAAAAAATGAGTTAATGCATTTGTTATACATTTGCTATTGGATTTTTTAAAATTACCACTGGTTAAATCACTATTTGTACTTCACACAATATTCACATTAAAAACTGTTTTTCATTATGATAGTTATTAAGGTTGAAACCCCTTCCCTCCAACCCCCCCCCCCTCCCTCTGTTAAAAAAAACCATGGCTGACCACCACACTCATTAAATAAAATGACATGGATTAACCCCTCCCCCAAGAAAATAATATGGATGATCTCCCCTTCCTAGCGCCATCTATATTTAAAAAAAGATTATCATAAAGTTACATAACTACTGCTTATCTGTCTCTCTTGAATGTATAATCACAAAGAATTGCATTTCTAATATAGCCGACTTTTTATTTATATATTTTTCACATTTAAACAAAAAATCAAACAAAATGTATCTATCAAAAGGTGGAATCTACATTTACTACAAAGACCTAATTATTTCTGTATATGCCAGCAACATTGTTTAAAATATGGACTACACTGACTGTAAAATGCAACAAAAATCAGTTCTTTAAATGTCTATATAATATTTTACTTCACCCCCCCCCCCCCCCCTCATCTTAATAAACTTTTAATTAAGAATTGCATGAATATGGTTATAGCTGTACAAACTTTAAAAAGAAATATTAAGTTACGGTTAGGCACAACTCTGAATCAACAATCACTGCACTGAACAAAAAAATTCACCAAAATAAAGATATTTTAACTAGACCTGTATATAGTTATTAAAATGTACAGCAATCAATGCTTGAAGACTTGAACTAAAAATGGCATTAAAAAAGCCATGTGGTTTATTACAAAGTGAACTTTCCTAAGTTATGTTGATTTGGAAAAAAACATTACAAAACAGTTTTATGTAGGTGAGATATTTTGAGGATAGAGCTGTGGGATTAATTCCTGTTACATCTTCCTCTATTCCTGCTAGGTCAAGTGGGGCATAAATTACATAAATGAATTTTCTGCTTGTCTGTGATCAAGAAACAGCAGGGGTTGTTACCTCAGAGGTAGATTGGTAGTTTTATTGGGGGTTTTGTGGAGGTAGGGTGCTGACTTGTGCCTTACACCCCATGGTGCTGAATGCCTTGCTTTACCCCATGGATAGTCTATGGGTCTACACACACAAACATACACATACACACACATGCACATGCATGCACGCACCATATATATATATATATATATATATATATATATATATATATATATATATATATATATATATATATATATATATATATATATATATATATATATATATATATATATATATATATATATATATATATATATATATATATATATATATATATATATATATATATATATATATATATATATATATATATATATATATATATATATATATATATATATATATATATATATAGGGTTTTAGAACATTTGTCTTTCTTTAAATTAAAAAATTTCTTATGCTGCCCTCCATAACTTTAGACATGTTAAGAAAGCATGTCTATAAATAGTATCATGTCAATGTGTATTTTGGGCTGTAGTGTGTGTGTACAGGGGTGAATATGCTTAAGCCAGTGTGAAAATCCAAAGTTAATTTTTGAGTTTTTTTTTTAAGTCAGGCTATTATTCTGTTTTCCTCTGCTGGTCTGTTCAATGTAGTTGTGTGCTATTCTTGGTGTGTTTAGACAAATGTGGTGCACTGTGAAAACATCCAAGGTCAAGAAACACCTAAAGACAGGCTAAAGATATGCTACAAAATTGATTCTCTTGTCAAATCTAAGCTATTTTCAGCCTTTACTAAGTATATCCAGACCCCTTTTTATTTGGCATTCTTCATACTTTCTTTAGATTGATATTAAGTACTAAACTGCTGCAAAAGTTTTATTATTATTTAACTTAATTAGACCTTTAATTTAGATCTATAACTAAATTTCTCCTAATGTTTAATGAATAATATAAAATAGAGAACTGCTACCAGTATGCTGGCTTAAAAATGGATTAATAAAAATGCTGGAAACATTTGTGCTTGTTTTAACCAAGTTTTTATTTTAGTATTTTATAAGGGGGCGTATTTAATAAGGGTTTTGTGAAATGTTATATAGTATATAAAGTTTAATAATAAATATGTGAGGTGTGTATTACTATTAGATTTAGATCTAGTATCTATGATAAAGGGACGTAATCGAGATTTTTTAACACTTTTACCAAAAAAAGAGTAACTAAATTCAAAATGGCTACGTTAGCGATTTGTCGAGGAGCTGTTTTAAATGAATTAATGTTACAAGATAATGAGGAGCATCCGTTGAACAATGTTACGATGTCATCCAGAAGCAATGAAAAAGTAACGGATAAGAATGCTTATCGTGTGAAAAATAATAATTACAGGTGGAAAAAAGAATTATACGCAGGTTAGTAAAAGCCAAAAGCGTCGATGTAAAAATAATTTTCGCATTTTTATTTTAAAGAAATTAATTTGTTTTGTTTTTTTAGCATTCAATATAGATTCTACTTAGAATATACTAGATCTATATAAATTTATTGAAGATAGTAGTACTAGTAGCCATATAATTAGCCATATAATTAATTAGAGGCCTAAGTAATAATATTTTTAACCTTTATATTATTAGGCCTATATATTTATAACAATCTGAATCTGGACCGAGATCCTAACTCGAGACCTCCTTTCCTTTGCCCTATTTTATATTGTTTGACCACATCCTCCTATTATTTAGTTATAGTCACTTATACTTTTTTCTAAACAATTTTATTGCCTGGGGAGGGGGGGGGGGGGAAAGGGGGGTCATCCATTAAAAATAAATGATGTCATGATTTATTTGGTTGATTTACCCCTCCCCTACAATAAGCAAAGTCTCACATCACCTAAAAAAATTTTAAACATCAATTTCTTTCTAAAATACTGACTGTGTTCAGTCAATATAGAGTGTAGTAAATTAATCAATTTCTAGATCTATTACAATTTACTAAAGCTAAAACAGATTTCTAAACGTAATATAACTAAAATTGAATTACTTACTATTTTTTAATGGAAAAGTTTGACGTCACAACATCAAAAAACCCTGTACCACCTAAGAGTGTGACGTCATTTATGGAGAACCCCTGGGGTGTCCTATTAAATTAACATAAATATTATTAAATATAATTATATTAAATTTTATGTGAGCGTGGATTTTAATTTTTAATTTTATACACTAGAATCTAGATCTATGTGTACTAATAAATAGAAATGTGTTGAATGTGTTAAGTTTGCTTTGTTTGTTTCAAAATTAAAAGTGTGTGCTGTACCCTAAAAATTAGCAATTTAGTTTCAGTTTAGTACTTTATAACTGACTGCGCGTAACTGACTGTGCAACCTTTCAAAAAATATTATAGAATGTTTCAGATAACTATTCTACTGTAATACAATAAATTTTAGTCATTATTATTAATGTTTCTTTTTTAATTTACAGTTGAAGCACCTTTCATAATGAAGAGCCAGGCAGAGAGGATTACAAGAGAACAACTGATTGTTGACAGTGACAATATGAAAGAAACTTCAGCACAAAAAAAGGTGTTATTTTATAATGTTTTGAATCACTGGATTTAATTTCCCCACTTTATTTACTATGTTATTTTGTTGATATCATTAACTATTTTGTTAATAGTATAATTTAAATAGTTAAGTAACATTATCTTTACCTTTTTTTTATTTAGAGAAAAAAGAAATCTTGTAAAGCATCACAGTTGACGGAGAAAGAATGTTTGGTAAATATTTTAATAACTAGCCTACCATTGTTAAAATCAGTCTTTGATTATTTTTTTTTTGAACTGGCTGTAGGCATATAATTTGTTTTGTTCTGAGTTCTAGAAATTTTATTACCCACTTGGCTTATGATTTAAGCTCAAGTTATCATAAAATTCTTAGCTGCCTTACACTATCGTTAATTAGGCCCACATTTCCGTATTACTAGAAATTCTTAATCAAAACAACAAAAAATCTGTATTTCATAACTTTATTTAGCTACTAACTTTTCTCATCATAGATAAAAAGTTTGATAGAACAAACGCTGCCTTCCTTATTGTTAAAAGCTAGAGAATTAAATTATATCAGGGAAATTCCAGATGTAAGCAAACGCTTTGGTATAAATGAGATGGCTCGTACTGCTGCCATGACAGAGGCTTGTGGGAACTTGTTTCAAACTCTGTGTCAAGAATTTGATGAGAGGGGGCGTGTCTGCCTTGAAGACGTTATCCTTACGGATGGTGCGTATCACTTTTTATTTTTACCCGTGTGTTAAATAATGCTTTCATTTTGGTGTTTCATTTTTTAATGTTTATTTACAGAAAGTAAAAAAGTTGACGCATCAGATATTATTGGAAAATGTGTACAAAACCGACAAGACAAAACCTTGTTAGTTGACATTGGTGCAGACAATTTTATCATCCCTCCACAATCTTCCTTCCTGACTTCAAGCTTTCAGCATTTTGTTTCAGGAGGCTACAAGAAAATTTTAGGTACGCAAGGAGTTTTTTTTTTATCTAAATTGTTATTATCTATTTAAAAATTTATTTTCTATTGTATATATGTAAAGATTGTAATACCTTTTTAAAGTATGTATGTTTTCTGTACTATATAATGTTCTCAATAAAAACGTGTATGTTTTCTGTTCTATATATAGATTGCTATGATCTTGTTGTTATTGATCCTCCTTGGATAAACAAGTCTGTAAAAAGGAAAAAGAGGTAACAAGACAAATGAATAAAATATGTAAAGCTCTTCTTATTTCTTATCAGACCCTGAGGAGTAAAATGAGCTTACACTGTTTAAACATTGACTACATTGACACACAATAAGACTTAAGACATTTATACAAAATATTAAGTCCAGCTCTTGTAAAAAGTTATAACACAATTCCTGATGAACATTACAAGTAAATAAAGGGAAAGAACTGCATCAATACTCTGAAGCTTCCATTAATTTATTTAAAGTTTGTAAAGTTTATCTCTACATGTTCTGTTCCAGCTACTTGATGGTTGCTGAGGAAGATTTGAAAGATATCCCGTTAGGTGATCTAACCCAGCACGGCAGCCTTGTGTGTGTGTGGGTCACCAACAACCAGAGGCTGATAGACTTTGTCAAAGATGAACTTTTTACAGCCTGGTCTGTCGTTTGGCTGGCAGACTGGGTCTGGTTGAAGGTTAGTAACTGTAACAATAAGCTGTCCACTTGCAAAATCTGCTACCTCACTTTTATTTATTTATTTTTTTAAGCCTAAAATTCTGGAATTTTTTTCCCCCGTAATTATACATTAACCTCTTGAATATAAAAATTAATAAAATGCTTTTGATTGTTATACCATACAATTTCAAGGGATTTATTATTTTTTGTTTTTAAAAGTCACAAATGCTAGCACACATGTATGCTGTCACACACGTTGCCACACATGCTGTCAATGTTTATGCCATCACATACGTAACTCCCCAGATCACCAGTACTGGAGAGCCTGTCTACAACATCAACTCAGCTCATAAGAAACCTTACGAGCAGCTAATCATTGGTCAAGTTCAACAGTCATTCACACAGTCCACACCTTCAGAAAATCAAACAGCCAGATATGATTTGACAGAAACTCATAGCATTGTGCCAGCGGAAACAACATTTAAGTTGCTGCCTGAAGTTATCCCTACAACCAATGAGGGGGAAAACTTGACTTTAATAGACTCTGCACAACCTGATACAACTCGTTTAGAGAATTCCACAATAATTGAAAAGGACATAAAAATTCCTCAGCAGTTTCTTCTAGTTAGCGTGCCTAGTTGTTTACACTCTAAAAAGCCACCTTTGTCTGGTAAGTTCTAGTTTGGTTTCAAGTTTTAGCATTTATTAGCATGTCTTGGAGTCCATTGGTTATATTTGAACCATGAACATTCAAGGGCCTTAAGCCACACAGTCTGTATAATTTTGAGATTTTAATTTTTTGTTTGTTAACTGACCTTGCTCCAATTAGGGCTTGTTTATTCAACTTCTTCAGAAGATTACACTAATAGTAATATTTAAGAATTTGATTTGTGAAGTACCTTTAAACTATAGATGCTTGTTAGTTATATGTAGAAATAATACCTCTGTCATTGTTGACAAATTGTTTCTTAACTTTTAATAAATTTCTTAACACAAAAAGGAGCATGTTTATTAAAAGTTAACAAATTTGTTTCTTAACTTTTAATAAACATTTCTTAATTTTGAAATTCCAGCAGTATTAAAGCCATATTTGCCAGCGAAGCCTAAATGTCTGGAACTGTTTGCTAGAAATTTAACACCACGCTGGTGCAGCTGGGGCAACGAGGTCAGTAGCTGGTCAGTTTTTTGTGGTCTGATTTGATTTAATAGACTTGACTTACCAAACAAGTAGTTACAACATATTTGTGTACAGTTTATGCTTTGTTTTTATGAGAGAGAGACTGGAAACATTATAACCCCTTTATAATTAAGTTCAATATTTCAGCCACTCAAACATCAGCATATAGACTACTATGAATTCATTTAAGGTGAGTTTTCACACTTATAATGTGGACATAACTAACACATTTTGCATTTTACAGGTTTCATTTTGTCAATCTTGATTATGATTTTCATTAGAGTGAGATTTTTTTTATGTTTTGTTGGTTCTTTCTTAAAAGCTTTAAGCTAAATTTTATTTTCCAGAATAGACCCAAAAAGTTTACCTCTGCAGGTCTATTAGGGCCCACTTTTGAGTTCTCTCCATGTTTGATTTATTTACAAATAGCAGATCACACAAAACAATTGTACTTTAAACTGAGTTTGTTTTCTCATTTTCTATTTTTTTGTAGCCATAAACCAGTTAAATAAACGTGGCTGTATACTGGAGTATTTGGATAAATCAATGGAACTCAGGGACTTATTCTAAGCTAACAAATCTAAAAATCAATTAAATTGTTCTTTTGTACAGTTCTATTATAAAAACTATTTTCTTTGTACAGCATCAATAAGCATTTCAATGTTTTTGACATGTGTAATAAATCCAGGTTATAAAAATTCAGTGCTTTGTATTAATTATTCTTTATTTATCTATACAGACTGAAGTGAGAAAAATGGTATATGTGTTTGGTTTTCTGAGTTTTGACAGAGTAGAATTAGCTAGAAATTACCAACTTTATTTTTCACATTTGTTTTAACATTCTTGAAGATGTCCTCGTCCTTTGTTATTTTAAAATTGAACCATTTTAAAATTGAACCATTTTAAAATTGAACCAATTAAGTAATAAATTCATGCATTAACAAAAAAAAAACAGCTCACAGAGGCAACATAGCAGGATATTCAAATGGCTTTAAAACTACATAATTATTAAAAGACACTACATTTTAAAATGTAATACCTTTTTCCCAATTTAAAATCTTTAAAAATCAGATCTAAGCTTATATAGAAGATGCTTAAAGCCATTTTTTTTATCCTGAAGCAATAATTTTTAAGCAACACTTTGAGCAAGAAAGGAAAGAAGAAATGAAAAATGCTGAAAAGGGTTTTTATTTCATCCCTATCAATCAAAGTTTTCAAGCGATAAAGAATACAAAGCTAAAGTGGTGGATAGCTAGTGTTAGTGGCTATACAAGTCATGAATTAAAAAAATCATAAACAGCATAGAAAAATTCAGATTCATCTAAAAAAGGGGGATTGGATTTAGTTAAATATAAAGACATCTGAATCCAGACTGGTCACATGACCAATTAGAAACAGAGTTACAGGAAAATTATTCCTTTGAAAATTATAACAGATGAGGGAAATTTCTTCTACAAACAAATTTCTAAAGAATAAATATAGGTATAAAATGGTTAATAAGATTGAATACAGTTATTTCAGATTATAATATTAATTCAGTTAGAATTTTAAAAGAAATTAGAATAGAATGTAGAGAAAAAAATAGTGGATAAAAATGAAATTAGAATATACAACACAGTAAGGGGAAAATATGCAATAAAAATTTGAACAAGAATTTGTATGTACTAATTTAGCCTTTAAGCCAAACCTTCGGTGTTCTTCAATCCTTGGCATTAAAAAAACTAAAGTTAGTTTTCTAGTTTTTGTCATTTATTCTGCAATAGCAAGAACATACATAAATAAACATCTTTCACTTTTAAGACTTGCAGCAATTTAAAATGGTAAATATTTAACTGCAATTTAAAATCAAAGAAATATTTAGTAATAATTCTTAACCAATACTTCAAGGTTCAAACACACAATAAGTATTATAATTTTGAGGTGTTATAAATGTAAAAAAATATATGTATATATAAATATATTTAACTTTTAATTAAAAGAGTAACAGTGAGAAGAGCATAATGCTGTTGAGAAATGTGAAGACTACTTGAGACCACTTTCAGTTTGTATCCACCTCTTGTAGATTCAACAGTCTTCATTCTCCTCAACATTCTAAATGAAATAATTTTTATTTTATATAAAATACATAGGGCACATTAATAAAACCTCTGCATCAAGTAATATATATAATATATTTATATAATCTATAGCATTCAAAACCTGTTTATAATTTATATAAGTGTTTCTGATTTCTTAAAAATCTCTTAAATGCTGCAATAAAGCAGCACTTTTCACATTAGGCACATATACATATAATCCACAATTGTACATATAGCACACAGCTATCTTCTGGTTAGTCAAAAATTGAACACTACTGTCAAGTAAAAAAAAATTAAAACATCTAATTTGTCTTCAAACATAACTCATTTGTTGTGAGATAAAGGTAAATATATTGTCAGCTATTTTTAAATGCTTTTTCTTTTTAAAAAAAAAAATGGCCAACAAATAGAATAAAATGAACATAATAAACATTAAATTTTGTCATTAAAATGAGATCAAGGTGGAAATGTATTAACAAATGTGAGAGCTATAGGCACACATCACTGATTCCACTTTCATCCATAAACTTTTCATTCCAAGGATTAGAAATTGTATTTTAAATTAATAATTGATACTAATTTTACTATTGTAACTATTATAATTCTTTATGTAAAGTAACATTGTAAATATAAAAAATTAAAGTGCAAATTTTTAATTTAAATGTTTTGAGATTTTTTGAATGAATAATCATTAATAATTTTTACATGGTAATTTTTAAATTTTATATTAAAAAGAAATTCCAGAAATTTAAAAAAGTGCAAATATTTCTCGTTAACATAATTTAAATACTAATTTCAATATCGGATTTTTTTATGTATAAGAAAATTGTTCTGGAAGAATGACCAGCGTTTTATAAAAACTGTCTCACTTCTTCACACTTGTGATCAACTAGAAAACAAATTAACCCGAATTGCACTTGAGTGTTACTGGCAATCCAACATGAAAGTAATAAAAATCATTGACAAAGTGAAAAAACTGCACCTTACAATAGATGTATATACTTCCTAATTAGGTATATAAAAGTTAACCTATTGACTTTTAATTATTAAACTTAAAAAAAAAACCGAAAGTAAATTGTAACTAATATTTTCCAAAAAAAAATCGCAAAACTTGTCATGATTCCATTTGGGTATATATTATTATTATGCTGTGTTTTACAAACACCCTCCAATATAATTTTAAAACAAAAATGTCACATTCATTCTTATATGTTGAAAACCACCTCTTTCTATCAATCACTTAACCTTTTTACTAAATAATTTGAAAAATTATAACTGTATACACTACACTGTCAAATTCAAAACAGTGAAATTATTTCTACTTTAATTTCTCTCAACAAATGTAAATTTAAAAGAAAAAAACAAAAAAAAACCCTGTTATGCATTGAAAATTAAATTGTGATATTGATATAAAAACATGATCACTAGAATTATCAAAGCTGGACATAAAATGTATACACATTTATCGTTACATATAAAAAATATGTAAAAGCTAACTTTGTGGTTTTGAAATTATTTTTTTTAATTATAGATTTTAAGACTATTTCTAGCACATCTTGCACATTTAACATGAAAAATATTTCAAATAAAACATCTAAAACTACAATAAAATATGAATTAAAGAATTGTATAGAAAAGTTAAAATGTGGTTTGAAAATATATAGAGAAGTTAAAACTATGTACATACATTATGACAATAATATAAGACTAAGAAAATACTCAATTTTAAAAGCTCAAAGATAAAATGCATATATGTTGTATAAATAGGTTGGTGAAAGAAAAAGCTATACGAAGACAGCTACATAATATTTAAGCATATAATTATTAAAGAAAACTGGATGTGTTTAGGATAGTTTTAAAAAAAATTGAAGTCTTAATGAGTAGAGTATATAGGCCTAGCTTTGTTAAATGGTGGCAGTCCATACATCAAAATTCAGCATTGCGCTATGACAGTATATTTTTGTTAAAACTTCTAAAATGCAATTACCAAAACTCTAAATGGATTTCTTCATTAGGATGGAATTGCATACTGAAAGAAAAAACTCCTCCTAATGAGACCTGTGTTAATGTTTTGCATGAACCACACAGACACTGAGAAGAAAATATTTAGGGAATCATATGCCAGACATTTGAATTATGCAGTATATCATTAGATTTATTTTAAAAATAGAAATAGATAAATCTAGAACTGAAGCGAAAAAAAGGCAAATAGTATATCACATATTTGTTTGTCTAGACACAAGCTCGCCCCTTCACAAATAGTAATTAAAATTATGCTCGTCATTAAAATAAATGTAAACGATTAACAAGCCATGCCTCCACACGTCATTTTACAGACTAAAATACTTGCAAAAAATTAAGTTGTGGACTCACAAAAAAAATAACAAACCAACATCATGAAACCCGTACAAATAAGTTTCAATTAACCAAAGGGGAAAATGAAATGACACCCTAAATCGTATTTGGTTTGATTAACCATTGCAACTTGGCCTGAGTTATCACTTGCATCAATGGAAATAACAATAATTTCAGATTAAGCTTTAAATGTTGCATCTGGATTTGCATAAATTAGTGCGTAATAAATTGAACATTTGAGTTAACTCATGATAATTTCATTCAATAATGTTTTACAATTGTCAACATATTTGTCATTCCCCAAAACAAAGAAACTAGACTGTTTAACATTACCAAAACTCTAAATTAAGGTTAATATGTAAAAAAAAATTATTAGGAATGTGTTTGTTTTTATATCTATATTCTATCTCTCTTTTTCTAAGTGTACTATTTTGTGTTGTTTAGTATGTGAAATTACATGGAGGAAATTAACTACATATTCATATCCAGAGATTTAAAAATGTTCTATTCTGTAAAGCAATAAACTTCTGGCCAGTAAATATTCTTCAAGGTGGAACTAATAACACAGAATCATTACAGCTTGCTCACCCACTAGATTTTTTAAATGCGAATACTGAGTTAATTAATCACTTTTTAATTCCTATAAAAGGTAATGAAATTCTGGGGAAGGCACACGCTCACAGAAAATATAGAAAGGCACTTTAAAAATAACATGCTATTGTAAAAAATAAATCCACTCATGGGTGTAATTTCCATTAATAACTTATCAATCTAATTAACTAACTTATCTTTGGGTTTGCCAGACTAGTTAGCAAATTAATTATTTTCCTCGAATCTCACATCCAAAAGAAATGAAAAATAAAATGATACTTTCATCCAATAAAAGCATGATGAATCCATTAAGTTATTATAATGCCATGTGTGCGTTCATAAAATAACAATGTCTTCCTACAAGTTTATATATTAGATTTCTTTATCAATTCGTCATCTTTATGGTCCATATCTAAGTCTGTTCTGTTTATGATTCATTGTTATATGTTTTCCAGGATATTCTTTTTAACACTAATGTGGTTTGAAAATCTGATTAACCGTTGTCATGCATTAAAATTTAAACGTTTCAAAATGTGGCCACCCATAAATGACATCACACTCCAATGGGGGTGGGAAGGGGCGGGGTGTCTGGAGTTTTGTGATGATGAGGGAGAAGAGGTTCAGAAAGTATGACATCACACTTGCATTTTAAAAATTAATGTTTAAAACTTAATTTTAGTCGTTAAAGTGCATTTTAGAAAGTGATTTTGTAAATTGTATTAGAAATCAATCAGTATACTCTATGTTGACCAAGCTCAATAAATTTATTTATTTTAAAATTGTTGGTTGAAAATACAACTGCAGTTTTGGGAGGGGGGTAATGTAGGCTGAGGTTTGATGTCATTTTAGGAGAGTAGGTGAGGGAGGGTCTGCAGTTTAGTGAAGGTGGGGAGGCGGAGGTAAAAATTGACTGGGGGAAAAAGTGTGACTTCATTTATGGATGACCCCAAAGTAAATAATTTGTGAGACCATGACAATACGCTGAATTTTTTAAAAATAATTTCACAGTTCCAGTACATTTAAAAAAAAAGCTTCATATAACCAATAAAATGCCATATGTGATAATGTACATACAAAAAAAAAGGACATACCAACCTTTGATACATTGCAAACGTGGTTTTTTAAACTATTTTTATAATATAAGAGGGATTAATATTGTTGATACACAATCTCATTTAAACTGAATGTAACACTGTGACTACAAAACAAATAATGCCTAGATTTCCTATAAGCTAAACTGTACTGTAAAAGGTGTTTCTACTATGATTCTATCCTAGAGGTGGCTTGCAGTATTTCAGTTCAGTGCATCTTCACAGCAGTAAAAACATACTTCACAAGCTAAAAAGGTGATCTTTGAAGAATTCTAAAGTTTTATTTTGGTGGGTTGTGCCATAAAATAAATTAAAAAATTATTTTTCTCCAATAGCTGCCTTATTCTGTAGTACTGTCAATGCTAGTGATCATTTTAGTCGCAACTTTGTAGCTTAAAGTTAGCTAACAGAGGGGAGATAACCTGCAAGGCTGGCACGAAAGATGGAATGCTTATTTTTATACCAGCAATGTATTTACTACCCCCACCCAAAATTGGAAACTATACATGTACGTTTACATACACATATGTAATGTGCTATATTAATTAAAAATTCCTGATCACACATTTTAATTACCACTGCCGGCTAGTGACTGCAGCATAAAAGTATTTAGTTGTTTTTCCTCCAGAAATAACTTGTCAAACCTACTGAAATATCTTTAAAATTGCATGTAACAAAAGGCACATATTTTGTCAGTTGGCCACAGACAAAATCAGATTAGCACAAGTGAATACTTTTATACCATGACAGCAATAGCCACTTTGTTTTGATTGTAAGTAACAGCAGAATTATTTAAACCGTAAAACAAAATGTCTTTACAATTTGAACTTGGGGGAAACTAATTTGCCATAATGTTGCTATGAAGCATTCAGTAACATAAAACGCTGTATATGTGTAGGCCTATCAACTCATATACCACTCTTTATGTAAAGTTTTTTTTTTAAGTGTTAAGTAAATAAATTAATTGTCTGATATCTAAAGTCAATTAAAAAATATATATCAGTCTTAATTACAATTTGAAATGTCTATGCATAAATAACATTAATCTGGTGATTCAGGTAATGTAATTCTTCACAAAGTAATGCTGTCTGTAGAGGATTTTTTTGCAAATGAAATTGTATTTAAAGCACAAGTAATATCCCTGGTCTATCATAAAAAAAAGCTAAATTGTAGACTTGGAAAAAGACACTCGTAGATGACAGCTTTCTCCCATTTGGTAGTTATGCATAGCCTAGAGAGGAAAAAATGTTTCAGTTGAAAATATCAACATTTTACACATAAAAATGATAGACTGCTGTTCTTTGATATGATTGGTCTGAACAAATCATGTGCAAGGTGCTTTTTTCTTAATTAATTGGTCAGCTATTACATTATTTATGACATGGATGTCTTATGACTTAATAAAAATTCAAATTCCAATTATTCTTTTTAAGAAAACAATTATTTACTTTGTAACAATTTTGGTAAGAATTAAAAAATTTAAACTTCAATGATTAACGTTGCAGAATATGAGCACAGAGTGTTACAATGTAAATTATGAGTGGATGGAAGTGCTCTGAAGTTTGGATGTAGAAAAAATACATTTTATATTTTTGGTGAGAATATTAATATTTGTTTTAACTTACAACCAAAGCATGAATAGCTTCTTCAACTGTACTCATTTGAATTAATGCCATCTTTCTGTCTTTTCTGGAGATTATAGAGATAAAATACTATGCATAAGTTATTTTAAATAAGCTAAAGTGATAATATTTTGTAACTTCTTGGTTAAGTTTAAAATCAGCATATTATGGTTAACTTAACCATATCCACAACCACTAAAATGAATTCATAAACTTGACAAGAAGCACTTGTCTCCCTTTAACAGAAAATATAAATGGTCTCCCTTTAACAGAAATAGCTATTGCAAAGAAAAATGTGCTACATACGGGAAAAATTTAAATGCTTTGACAGTTCCATGATCACTGAACCATGTAGTCAGGTTCTCCTCTGTCACATGGACTCTAGAAATGGAGAAAAATATTTTGTAATAAACAAATATTGAATTATAGACAAGCCTTATTTAAAATGGAACTGTATATTTTTAGAGAATAGTTAAACAGAAAATTAATTCTAGATACATTTATTTAATTAATTAGTCTAGTTAAGCTTTAACTTTAAAGGTTTGAAGATATTGATCCCTTCCCCAGAATCAGACTGTTTTTTAACTCCAGTTTTTAAAAATGTTCACAAAAAGACTTATGTTTTTATTACAAATTTATATTTAGCACTCTGAGAAATGGAATTGCCATGATGGATTTGAAACAATCTGCAGGGGGGGGGAGAAACTGTATTGGAGAGAACAGTTTGGCTCTAGGGAGGCAATATGTTAATATAAATTTAGTATTCTGGTTCTAATGCAGAAAAGCATCATAAGAAAACTAGCACCCAACTCTTTCCTGAGTCAGTAGCAGAGGCGTAGCGAGGGGGGGCGGGGGGGGGGACATATGTCCCCGGGCGCTGACCTTATTAGGGGGGCGCCAAATTGAAAGTTTGAAAGGGGGGGTGCAAATGAAAAGTTCGAGGGGGGGTGGAAATCGAAAGTTGTCCCCGGGCGCCGGGAGGGGTCGCTACGCCTCTGGTCAGTAGGGCATTAACAAGTAGCTACCCTGAGTGGATGGGATAAAGGGAGAACGTTCATTCTTGGTACTGAGTCTTGTGTGAAAGAAGAATTTAAAAAAGCTCTGTACACTTACGGAATGTTGGATAAGTGCAGAACTTGTGATGGTGGGAAAATGTTCTGGCAATTTTTAGAGCCAGGACGTTTGAATCGATGTAACGGAGAATTTACAAAATCCTTAGTTAGACCAGCATCCTGAATTTTTAAAAAGTAGGTTTAAAAAGTAGGATTAAAAAGTTGGTTTCAAAAGTAGTTTTATAAGTAGGTTTAAATTTAATTCAAATATGGTTATTTTCAACAGATTTATAACATTCTCCTAAATGACACAAGTTGAAAGACATATACATACTTTTATTATATTTAAGCTATACAGTTTATAAAATAAAACAAAATATTAAATCATATTTGCTGTAGTAACCTATAATCTCTTAAAAAACTGGCTATACAAAAATAATCTCATCTAACTTTAAAAAACTGGCTATAGCAAAAATATTCTAATCTTACCGACTGTCCTTCTTTGGGCATTTGTACAACTTGATGTTTGGACTGTGCTACTCGAATTTGTTTTCCCCAGACTCTTGCTTTATCAAGGTAAGTGATGGCTGTAGAAATAAATCACAACAAAATTGTAAAAATGGCAGTGTAGGGTGTTGTTTAACCTTTTGTGTTGTTAATCAATTGATTTAGTAGTTTTGTATTATTATGGTCTATGGAGTAGGGAATATCAGTGTAAGATGAAATAATGCGTCAGATAAATTAAATCTAATAAATTACCAATTTGGAGTGTAAGACTGTACCATGCGTAAAAGTAACATGTTTTTAAAAACTTGGGATAGGTAAAAAGGTAAAAGAATAAATGATCTAAAAATTATTTCAAGAACAAAATCATAAATAAAAATGTCAAAATTTTAAATGTACACCAACATGTCAGCCTTTCACAAATAATATTTTTTTTAATAATTAGTAAATTTAAATATAGTTTATACAGATTTTGCAAACATTATTTAAAAACGAAATTTCTTTCACAAAAGTAAATTCTAATTTAAATTTCTTCTTTAACAGTTACTCAAAAATCTACTAAACATAGATGAATGCCCCCATTTTAAAAATACTACTGTAAAAACAATTTATTGTCCTACCGAGCTGTGCCTGATGGGGGTCAGCCATTTGTATCAGTGCATTATCTTTCTTGTTAAAAAGAACTTTCACCCTGTGTACATCACCGTAGACACCTAAATGCAGTATACAAATTATATTAGTTTTTACATCACAAAGCAAACTCAATCAAATAATATAAAAAATTTATAGGAATGAATAAAAATAGGAATTAATAATTGTAAAGAAAAGTTCAAGCAGATTTATAGGTCTATATATAAAGTTTGGCAGAAAGAGACAGCTGGGGAAGCATTATTTTAAAATATAGGTACAACTATGATGGTAATTCTTCTTAACTCTTTAAGAATTAAATATTAACTGTCCAATTAACTCATATTGTATTAATTAATAGGATACATTCTTCTTATGTATTTGTTGATACATCAGCCAATCTTTTAATGTAAAACACAAACATTTCTTTTTTTAACGATTTTTTATAAACTTTAGAAAAGCTTTAAATACAGCTAATATCTGAAATGAAGGTGAGGCCTAATATTTTTCTCATATGTTATTTACTGTGCATGTTCACTGATGCTTTAAATATATTTCCTGTGGTTACTTCTAGGAACATAGCCACATTTTTTTCTAAACAATCTGTCATATAGAGAACTATTGTACTGCTAAAAAAAAAAGTTAAACCAGAATAATTTGAAATGACTAAAAAAACAATCTCCCTCTCTAAACCTACACCAGATTATTGTGAAACAGTTCTGTGTCATTTAAAAATATGCTAATTTATTCGACAGATTGGTAGATGTATGAACAGCTGCTAGGAGCTATTCAAAAAGCACTGTGTTTTTCCACTGTGTTTATTTAACTAGCTGATCAATACTCTTTTAATTATATCAAAATGCAAACAAAAACTTGTCCATATAAAACATACCGAAAAGAGTAAAGAGGGCGTCTGGTGTAACCATCTGTAATAGCAATGGAAGCAACACAGGATAATTTGGACAGATGAAATGGTTGGGTTTTATGCAGTAGAAGTTGTATGATGGCCACCCAAGTATTCGTGTTGTTGAAGACAGAATCAATCAAAAAAATCCCATCATTTGTGGATCCAAACATAGCCACAGTGACACAGCAGCAGACGAGTAGTGAGGAGCAGAGTATGGTTTGTGGAAGGTGGCGAAAGAGAGTGGGGGAAAGAAAAGAAATTGTGTTAAATCAAATGAAAATAAAATTCTTAATAAAAAAATATATTTTGCTTAAAAGTATATTGGTTATGAATTATCTAAATGTAACATTTAGTAGTTAAAATAATGCCTTTTTGTGTAATACTTATTTATCTTTTAAACTATTAGTAATTAACTGCAGTAATGACTTATTTGTAAAGCAGACTTTTCAAATTTTTATACACAAAATACTAACAATCTATCTTCATTTTGATCTATTTTCACTACTTTAAAAAGAATGTCTGGAAAAATTGACAAAATTAACAATAATTTTATGATTTTTCAAATTTTCTATTTGAGATGGACAAAAATTGTTAGTACAGTTGAATTCTGAAAATTAATGTAAAAGAAAAAAGCAATGTGTTTTTCGAACTAAAATAATCATGCAAATGTTTTTAAAAATTATTTATATAGCTAAATAAAAACTTTGAAGGGAGTAAAAGGCAAGATTTTTAATGAATATTATAAAAAGTATCATGTAAAAAAAAGAACAATCTGGACTTAAGCTGAGTTTTGACTTTTTGTTAAACAAAAACTTAAATTTACATGAAATAAATATTTTTTATATTTTAAAATGTTTTTAAAAAGCAATAAAAATTTAAATTTCCTTAGTATTTAATTAAAATTAATAAGGGCAATATTTTAGCACTTTAGTGAAGGATTTAACAAAACAATATTTAATATAAAAAGCCATGAGTTACCTCCTCATCTAAATTAGAGACTAGAATGACTGAACTCCCCATTGATGCTGGTAGAGGGAGACCTATTCTGGCAGCACCTAATGCACCAGGAGGAAGTCCAAAAGCACCCATAGCATTAATGGCACTCATTGTGCCAACTGGCACACCTGAATAAAATGAGAGACCTAAATCCATGATGTTGCAGTTTAATCAATGCACCAAAAACAAAAATAATAAAACAAAGAAAAAAATATTTTAATAATATAGGAATATGTGACGAAATAGTAATAATGTATAGAATTTAAATTATTTTTTACTTAGTTTCTTGAAGTTTCTGTAAACTATATTTTACATAAGTGTTTCTATCAAGCATCTCTTTGGGCACTGCCCCCCCCCTTTCCCCCCCCCCCCCCCTAAAAATAGAATTTATATAGAGAATATATACTTTAACTAGTGCCTGTCCCCTGAAAATTTAGTCCTGTCTTGTCGCCCCCCCCCCCAAAGTTTCAAGTCCTCCCCTAGGTTGTCTGTCCGCCCTCCCCCTGAAAGAAACACTGTTTTACATATAGAAGTATTTTGACTTATGGGTTTACCTGGTATCCCATATCCGGGTGCTGCAAATTTAAAACAAAATTTATTATATTGTTTAATCAAGAAGTAAATAATATTAAAAAGCTTTACTACAAAAAAAAATATATATGAAGCTTGCGTGCTGAACCTTCTATAAAGCCCTGAAGAGCCATTAATGTTTATCATCTGGTTTAGTTGATTAGAAGCATGCATAATTGTCTTTTCAATGCAGTGTACAATTTGAAAATATAGCACCAATGCAGAAGTTGTTGAAAAGGGGGAAAAAATTGAAACTTTGTGCTAATAAACAGTAAAGGCTCTCTGGCAGGTCTAAAATTAGGTGTTATTTTGTTCTACACTAGTATATGAAATTGATAAAAATAGAGTGCTAACTGTGGCAGTGAAGAGCAAAAATTAATAAAAAGTATGTTAAAAGAAAATATTTCAAGAAAATACCGGTTGGCGTGTTAATTAAATAAACTGAGATGTTCAAAACTTTTTTTTAGCGCAATTTCCATTCTGGAGAATTGCGTTTATTAACCCGTCATTTCTGGATGTATGAATGAATGGATGGATGGATGGATGGATGGATGTGTGTCCGCAGCTTTAAGTCGCATCTCCTCCTCAACGAAGCAATATCGATGACTAGTTCCAAAAGCAATTATGTTAAGCAAGTTACGAGGATGAACATAGGCTATAAAAATTCCGGGTTTCTTTCATGGATTTCCCGGAAAAGCCAAAAAACCTCGAAAAAAAGCAGTTTTTTGCCCATATCTCGGCAACCAGACCACTTAGCGACTTGAAACATGTACCAATCGATTCCTGCCATAATTTAGAACAATATTGCCGAAGAAAGTTTTCAAAAATATCCTTTCGTTCAGTCACAAAAATTTTTTTGAATTAATTAAAATTTGGACCGAATTAGTAGGCATTTTTTCCAACCACACCACACGCGTCATCACGTTCAATAGCTGCACCATCACGTTCTATGGCTTCGTCATCACGTTCAGTAGCTAGGCGCGCAATGGTTTTTAGTCATGTAACTCTATTGTAAATAAAACATGTAAAATACTGAAATTTTTTTTTAATAAAAAACGTTTTAATAACTAACCAATGGTTTTACTAACCCTGCTCTTGATTTACGCTACGACAGAGCTATTTTTAAATAACATAAGGAAATTGCGCTAAAATTGTCACTAGACTTTTTAATTAACTTGTTTTGAGGAATACAAATGTTTCTCAAAAAATAATTTGGAAGTGATGAAAATTTGTAACCCTAAGGCAGAATTTGTTGTTAAATAATAAAAGTACATTTATAGGCTTATATTTTTGTAATGTAAAAAAAGTTTGGACAATGAATTAGAAGCCAAAAAAATAAAATTATTGTTATTATTTTAACTGTTGTAATATCTAAGATAGACAGCTCTTTCATGTTAAGAACTTATACCAGATTATTGTTCTGAAAAAAATTTCATAAGTTTATAATTCAGCATCAGCTTAAAAAGAAATCAAGAAAGAAATCCATACACTGTAGAATGTGGAATACAACTAATGCTAAAATGCTAGATTGGACAATTTAGGGTAGCCTATATACAGAATGATGCTATGGTGAACTAGAAACTGACATTTGAATATGAAACTTTTGATCACTCAAATATTTACTGCCACAAAAAGAAAACAGAAGTGGAGTTATGAATAAAAAACTTGAATGTGAAAGAGAAATGTATTCCACAGTTTCTGTTAACATTATATCAGTTCCACCCTGTGACTGCAATTACCCAAGAGGACTATATTTACAAGGAAGATTATTTTACAATACAGAATTTGTAAAAGAAAAAAAATTTATTTGTGAAAAGTACATTAAAAATTGAGGACACAAAAAAGGATTTAAGGACCTGTGAAATCCTAATTGTGTTAAGTCATTGGGAGCAAAAAAATCAGATATTTTCTGTTCAACTTAATTCCAGCTCTCATTCACAGAGCACTCTATTTTGTTTTATAGAAAAAGCTATGTAATTGGTTTATATTTTTGACATGCAATAATTTTTTTTTGAAACTTTTCTTTTTGTGTAAACAAAAGAAATGCTGTTGAATATTTTATCATACATAAAAGGGTTTGTTTCACAAAATTTTCCAGCTTTTATTTATACTATATGATAGAACAAGTTATTTAGAAATTATTTCTAAAATTTCACCTAAACCCTGTGTCCAGATTATAGTCGGTTCCTCTCTCACTTCTTGAAAGTCAACTGAAAAGAGAAGTTTTGAACATCTCCGATTCTCTTCCAATATTCCCCGCTTAACAAAAATGTTTGGTTTGATAAAAAAAAAATAAGGGAGCATGTCACTGACTGATTCATTTGTACCTCAAAATAAAATAAATTATTCAAACAATTTTGTAGCTAAAGCTAAGCAGAAATTGTTAATAAGTGGGTAATTTAAAAAACATAACTTGAAAGCTGTTATTGTTAGTAACAGATTGCAGTGGCTGACACAGGTCATCACTGGTTAATGTAAGATACAAACTAATGAATGACTAGTTCTCTCTCAACCGCAAAAAATGGAGAAATGTGCATGCTTAAAATGTAAGTATAAACCACTGCTTTTAAAAAATGTATGTAGATAAAAATAGATTTGAGGCCATCACCCAATAAATAAATAACTGAATGATATATAAAAACCAATGGTTAGTTCAACAAACATCAGAGAGGGAGCAAGATTCTGTTCAATCCTAGCACAAATGGATCTAGACTCGGGTATCAGGTCAAAGGTCAAATGGATTAGCAAAGGAAACATGGGAAAGGCCTCAATCCATATCAAGCTCGTCTACTTTCAACAAATTAGTTACAAACTTGGTGAACTCGTTAAAACAAACTGATTTGAGGGAGCTCATTTGAATGTATTATAAATCAATGAATTTGGAGAAAAAAAACATTGACTGGGTATGTATATGGATTATCTAATCATGTCAATCGGCAAAGGGGGTAATTTACCTGCTGTCTGCTGAGCAGGCAGGGCTCCGATGCTGGTGAGCTGAGGGGGAGCCAGTCCTGTGTAAGTAGGCAGGGGGGACATCAAAACCCCAGAGGAACCTTGCCAATGATACATGGATGGTAAACATTTCTATTATCATCAGATTAACATTACACGGCAGTGAGTCAGTCTGCTTTTACTTACAAATATAGCCTATTCATTGCTTTGGAAATCAATCTATTTCAATGTGGAAAAAAATGACAATATGAGATAATTTTTTCTTCCAGAAAATTTTTGAATGGATCATTAAAAAATAGAGGTAAAAGAAGATAAGATTATGTGCAGTCTTTTTCCCCTTCTAAGCAGTTTTTTAGAAGGAATATAAATTATTTTCGTTTTTACAAGTCCTCGCTCCTTTTTTTTTCATAAAAAAGTTTATTGTAAAATTGGGAGAAATTCAAACTTTTAAATTGCTTCTGTATTTATTATTTGGGTTGCAAGAACTAAAGTGATAAAAAAAAGTGTTAATATTTTTTAAACTTTAAAACTTAGAGAGTGGTTTGAGTAGCAATTACAATAAAATTGCAGGCCAAGGTACAATGCTGACTACAAGAAGGGGAATAACAACATGCACAGAGAACCATCAAGAGAGATTGTAACTACATTAGGACTTGCTGTAAAAATTGTGTGCAAATATTGTTAGGAATTAGCAGATAAAGCAAAAATAAAAATAGAAAAAAAAAATCAATAATAAAATGCATATTAAATTCAGTATTACATTCCTATTACATGATGAGTATTTCAAAAACTCTACAAAGCCCCCATGTTAAGCATTCTATATACAAGGTGTCAAGTTGTAGTTTGTCTGCAAGTGTCTCTACTGTAGCTTCATATTATTTTCATGTGCACAAAATTTCTTAAAGCTGTTTCATACTAAAAAGTACTTTATATGCTTCAAATCAATAGTATTAAACTATCTAAAAAATATATTTGATTATCTTAGGTAAAAAATGTATTTAATATTTGTATTAAATGGTACTTTATTTATTTTTAATTTTCTCATGTGTTTCAAAGTCTTTGGTTACACTGAGCATAATTAAATTATATATTTATTTTTTAACCTTATGATAAAAGTTATCCTTTCTACAAATGTTACTTCATTTATTTAAACAATTAGTTTTTTTTCAAATTCAGAATACAAAATAGAAAGAACAATAGAAAACGGAATAAAAGTTAAAAAGATACTTACCTCCGAGACTCATGGCGTCAAGACTAAGGTCACCTGTGGGGAGGTCAGGACGGGTGAAGTCCCTACTTTTGTCGTTGTTGTATTTCACATTGAGATTACTTAATTTAGAGTAGTCAATTTTCAATGTGTTACAACCATTATAGATGTTTTGACCATCTAGTGACTGCGTGGAAAAAATAAATGGAAAAAAATTAGATAAGTAGAAAACAACGGTGGGTCATAGATTATGCTTATATGCTGTATACACATTTTAATAAGCAGTAGTTTAATTTGATAAAACTTTGATGTTTGTAGCTCATTCCTGGCCTTATAAAACAACTGGTAAGTTTATACTTTCAGTCATTAGGGATAATTCACACATTTGTGTTAATGAAGCTTAAAGCCACCCCGCCCAGATGGACCCCCAAAATGAAAGTTGTCAGCTATTGGTGATTGAATGCTAAAACTATATCACACAAAAATGTGACATTTGAACCACCATCAACCCTTCAGGTTAAAGTATGTGTATGATCCCGTAAATTAAAAAAATTTAATACTGTAAACAGATCTCTAATGAAAAACATTAGCATTGTATGTTATGTTCCAGCAAATAAAGCAAGAACTGTTTGGTCAAATCTTACTGTTTTTGCTGCAGCTGCTGAGATGGCATCTGACATTTGAATCAAAGCTTGGAATGTGTCTGAAATATACAACAAGATTTTTAATGAAACAATTATAAATATCATTTAAATATGTGGAGGTGATTATTTTATTTGATAACCAGACTAATTTTAATATAATGAGCCCCTGATCACTCCTTTAAAGCAACTATTTTACCACAACAGCCAGAATTTTAACATTTGATTCTTTTGACAAAAAAAAAAAAATACAGCTAGTCATTAGACTTTCCTCACTCTTTCCAATAAACAAAAAAAAAAGCCCAGTGAAATAGATTGCCTCTTCATCTTCCTACCCTGCTTGCCAATCAATAAACACTATTGACTTTCTGCCTACACTGTCAGCAGATAGCTCATCTGCTATTTAGAAGATAATTATTCTAATCTTTCAAGGATAAATATACTCACTATTCTTTGTGAAGGTTATAATTTTCAACACCTTTCCAAATTTTATAAATAGCTGCAGACAGATTATTTTAATAAATTAAAATAATGAAGTTCAACAAAATTAAGCAAACTATTTCTACACTTAAAAAATATTTTATTAAAACTAATCTATTTTTATATTTGTCAGCTGTATAATTAACATAAGGGTATTATTAAAGACACAATTTAAATTTTCTGTAAGAAAAAATGTAGTGTTAGTGATTAAAAGTAAAAAAAATTGCAGCAAATCATTTGAACAAATGCTGCATATGAAGTAGTGAGTTGGGTATTGAGTTCAATAGCCCAGCAATCCCAAGCCAGAAGGATTGTGGGACATTTGATATAGCAAAGTTTCCTGCAGTATTTCATACAGTGTTCCACTAAAGCTCAAATAACTAGAGGGAATGGCAGATTTATGCTAACACAGCTACCAGTATCCTTGTGGTTCCCTCCATGGGCCCATCTGCAGTGAGGATAGAGTTCCAATGAGAAAAGTTTCTGGAGATGTTCTACATGTATTCCCTTGGGGTCTCAGACATGTAGTTTTTTAGGTTTTTGTTGTTGTTTTTTTTTTTTTGCAATAAAAAAAATTGGAAGAAATTTATGTGGCTGATTTTTTTCTCACTGCATCAGTAGTTTCATTTTTTAATTTTAATTTTTCATGATTATTTTAGCTCAGCAGATTTTTTTTCTGCACATATTTTTCATTTTTTAAACCAATTGCTGTTTCCTTTCTAGTTATTTTCTCCAGTGTATTTACTAAAACAAACAATGCTCAAGTCCCATCAGACTTTACCAAATGTTTGTAGCATGGGAGTCCATGCCATGCCAGTTTTTCTTTATTTTTCACTTTTGCTTGGTTGACTCCCACAGTTTTACTATAGCTCTATTTAATAATGTCTATCCGAATATATAATCCTCCTTTTTTAAAGCTGTAACTAAGAGTAAAATTCAAAGATGGAGGAATTTTAAAGAACAAAGTCAAATAAAATGGAATAGAGAAAAAATATAAAAACCTGGTGTAATATTTCTAGTGAGACTGGGTAAAATGCATTATCAACAATAACTCTCAGGATGGTTGACTGCTCATCAGACCCCATAACTACATGGGCAGCTTGCAATGCTGCTTGGGCATTAGCATTCTGTAAAAGATATGCCTAAATTTATTAAATCTAAGTATTTTAAAACACATCTTATATAGTTAATTATATGATTATTTATATTAGTCTTTTTTTACACAAAGGCTCAATATAATTTTTTAAAAATGTCTTCTATTTCTTTTCAATTAGCTTTAATATATGTATTCTTGTGCTAGTAATAAATAACAGGATCAAATTTATAAAAAAGGTGTCTGGCAAAATTAACTGGACTCAATAAGGGAGAGCATCTCAGTTACTGAATCAAGGGACTTAACTTGCAACTTAATAATACCCATATGATCTATCCACAATAATAAAGATCCCTACATCATTCTTCCTTCCTTACTTTTGGAGACTAATTAAAATTAATAGGTGATTTATATTTTAATAAAATCCACCAAAGTGTGTTTGGGTTGATTTTTTAAATTAATTTTATTTTAATTAAATAACTTCCAATGAGAGAAGAATGCAAACTAATATTCTGGAAAAAACTAACTCTCTTTGATCATTCAAATTAAATGATTTTTTTACTGCTAATGATTGAATAACAAATAGAAATACCTGAAAAGCATGGGAAGCATCAGTTTTCAATTCTTTATGGTTGGAAAATTGCACAAATACAGGTTTAAGGCGAATTTGGGCAGGATTAGCTTGAAAATATGAAACCATAGCTACAGCACTGGCTTCTTCTTGAAACTCCAGGAAAGCCTGTAAGACAAATTTTCATTGGTTAGCTATTCCTTGCAATCTGTAGTGTGAGTATAGGCTTATGCTGTTTGATAGGCCCTAGATTTGATTGCAGTGTTACTGTTAGTATAGGCTAAAGCAGTTTGATTTGATGATATTTGAAAATATGCTTTCATTAGCTGAAGTACTGATGACATAACATGTCATCATTTTGATTGGCTTTAGCACTGATGACATTTATGAAAATATTTGATTGGCTGTAGCAATGATGACATGTCCCGGGGCAAATCAATGCTGAGTCGCCCTGGTGACATTATAAAAGTCAGACCCCACCCTAGAGTTTTTTCCCTTGTTTGTAAATTTAGCCTCGCCAAGTAGAATGAAGTATAAAGTTAATGTGTTTTTTCCTGTACAGAATAAGGTTGGGTGTGAATGGCATCGTTTGTTGGGCCATTCAAAAGCTGGTAGGAAAGAGAATGTAGGGATATTATTATGGAAAATTGAAACTTTCCATCAATGAATGTCTAACTTTGTAAAGCTGAACCACTTTGTTAAAGTAATTAAGTATAATAAAACTTCATTAAATAAAACATAACACTTTTAGCTGTATAACAAAAAAACAGAGAAGAAATAAACTGGTGATTAGAATATGAAATGTCCAATTATCCAATCCTAATTTTCACAAAAGCAATAACTTTAATTACCTTATTATAGCTTAACAATGGGTTGTTTAATATATTTTTAAAGTATTTCCTATTATACATCTCATCAACTACTATAAATTTAAATGCTTTATTACAGCCTGTGTAATGGAGTTTCTCTAATTAAAAAAAAATCTAATTAGCCTATATGAAAACAAAAGCTTAAGCATTATCATAATTGAACCGTAGAGTTTCTAAAAACAAAAAAAAAATTAATTTCCCAGTAGATCTAGAATTTTGATAAACTTTGATAAACAACCATATATTTCTTTTTTTTTTAAATTATTATTATTTGTTTCATTCACATAAATATAGAATTTTGAAGAGTGATAGATCTAAAATTTTAGTCACCTGGTTTTTCTGTTTCAGCACCAAGACGTTGGTCATCTTCCCAAAGGGCATCCCCAGCTGAACGATGTCCGTCTCTCCCGCCTCGCCGGGCAGGCTTCGTATGTGGACCACACGGGAGGGTGGGTTCACTGTGCTGTCCAGCTTGGCCTGTAAGGTCAAGAATTTTTAAATTGTACTTGATAAATCTTAGGATTGTACTCCAGAATTCTTAGGACTGTACTTGATAAATCTTGGGATGTACTTGATAAATCTTAGGATCGTAGTCAGTAAATCTTGGGGTTTTAATCCAAAAATCAGGATCGTAGCCAATAAATATTGGGATTATATTCGATAAATCTTAGGATTGTACTCAAAAATTTTTAGGATTGTACTTGATAAATATTAGGATTGTATTTGATAAATCTTGGGATTGTACTAAAAAAATCTTAAGATTGTACTTGATAAATATTAGGATTATATTCAATAAATCTTGGGATTGTACTCGATAATTATTTATTACAGTTGTTATTGATTAGCTGTAACCACATATTTGTTCAAGGCAAGCGGGATGTTGGTATAACGATAGTTAACGCTTAGACCTAAGTGGCTGGGTTATAATTTGGTCTAGTTTAGGTTGTATCGTTAAACAATCAACACTGGTCATAAAAGATTACTATGATGTCATAGGTGGATCTAAGAGTGGTAACAAGGGAGTGTGGGTGTGGGTGTGAGTGTGGGGGGGAGGAGGCTATACACCCTCCCCCAAGTATAAATTTTTATGGTATTCTAATGTAGATCTGTAGGCAGAAATTGGGAGGGACAACTCAAAGCCTAAATCCGCCTATATATATATATGTGTGCAGCAATACATTAACAGTGATACTAGCTATACGAATATGTAGGGATGGCTAATTGGGCTGAATATTTTTTGTATATAAAGTAAAAAAAAATGGAAACTTGTTTGTTTTTTTTGTGTGCAACGTTTACAAGCTACGACAGTTATGTCAAGATGTAGAGGTACACGTCCAATGGTTTGTGTTGGAGTCATAGTTAATTACTTTATTAATGTGGGGCCTTCCATCTTGATGTACAGTTAGACTGTGGTTGTTGGCATCGTGTGTAGTGCTGGGGTGAGTAACCTACATGGTGTGTAACTGGTGGAGTGTGTACTGGTGTGGTGTGTACTGGTGTGGTGTGTGAACGGTGTGTAAATGATGTGGTGTGTAAATGGTATGGTGTGTACTGGTGTGGTGTTTAATTGGTGCAGCGTGTAATTGTGTGTTGTATAAATGATTTTTATGTAATGGGTGTGGCGTGTAATTGGTGTGGTGTGTGAATGGTGTGGCGTGTAATTGGTGTGGTGTATAAATGGTGTGGTGTATAAATGGTGGTGTGTGTAAATGGCCTGGTGCATAATTAATACGATGTGTAGCTAGCTTTCTGTGTATCTAGTTTGCTGTGTACTTAGCCTGATGTGTAATAGATGTGTCAATAAACTTACATTTGATTAAAGTACCCAGCACCTCGCTTTAACACAAACATCCCACGCAAAATCAGAACAAACACGCCTGAAGATGGTTCGTTCCATCAAGTGCCCTCTCCACCCCCACCCCCAGACTCTCCCGGGTGATGCCATGACGTTGCACAAGTTCGACCCCCCCCCCCCCCCCCCCCCACCCAAAAGTTGACACAGTCATCTTGTTAAACACTTCAGCACTTCGTTTTGGGCAATTCACAAAAATATTTTTAGAAACTTGCCATATGGGTGGCCGGGCCTAGTAACAGTTTTACAGATAACTAAATTATTAATTTCCTAGTAACAGTTGTATATATTTACTAAAAGAATTATTAATTGTATCTGAAGTTCCAAGCAGGCAAATTTTAATAGAAAATATTTAACAAAACAGAAAACAACGCGTACAGATTGTCGTCAATGTTCATTGAGCAACAATCACAAATGATGATATTTCAGTTCTACATCTGTCCATAGTCTTTAGCCTAAACGTCATCCCAACCCAATGTGTAAAATATTGTTATCAGCTATTTCTGCTAGACGACTAATCAATGGGGAGGAAAAAACGTTTATGATATGATATGCTGGGTGATCAATTCCTTGATTGTAATCCAAAACATCCGCAGTCTTCAAAGACTGCGCGTACGTCAGGTAATAACAAATCGTTTTATTGGACAGTGTGTGCATTGACAAGAGATTAATGAGAAATAAATTACACCATTGATAAAGCCCTACAAACTTGACCCCTCACGATTTCCTATCTTGGATAAGTGATACAAAACTTCAGCGTAACCGACATTGACAATACAAGAAAGTTTCTTAAAAAGTAAAAACAAAAAAGAAAACAAAACAAAAAAAGAGCGTTTTCTGTGCAAAGAGATTTTTTTTTTTGCGGGCTGAAAGACTAGACAGACGGATTGGAAAGGCTGAGACAGGAAAGCAGAACGAAGGCTTGGGGTGCCTGACACGACTAACAAAATCCCAGGAAACTTTGCGTTAGTCTCGCCTGACAACATTTGTAACCCTTCGTCGGCTTGTTACTTTCATTGCGTCTGTTTTACATTGTGACCTTTCACCTCTACTGTCCGTGTTTTTTGAAAACCACACATTTCCTCTTGACGCAGTAGATCTACTTAAAAATACTTGAAAGGGGACAACACTACTCAACCCAGTGAAACACAGCACACGTGAGGGCCACTTTAAAGGGCTCTCAAACTCTGGTTGTGTTGTCTCTAGGGCACTTTATTCATTTAGAAGTGCTTGAGAATCTTGTCACTTGTGTCTCCCCTACATCGTCATGGCGTTTGTATCAATGTGTCTCCCCACTATCTTCTCTCCGCCTCCCTGTATCTCTTCCAGTAGTTAGCTCTCCCTCCCCTATCTGTGCTCCCTCCCCCCTCTTTTTTTATCTCCCTCTAATTTTTTTCCTATCCCCCCTCCGCCTCCCGCCTAAGTTATAAATAATTAAAACAGACAGAACAGCTGACTGATTTCATTTTGGTGCATACGACCACGCCCACAATTATCGAGAGATCATCCCAATCAATGACTCACATATTTCGATGGGTTTGCTTTAATAATTAAAAAACTTTTTTATCTAAAAGACAAGCTAAGGGGGGGGGGGTAATTGTGTAAGATATTTGAGTATAATCCAACGTCTGTCCAAACAAGCGGAGACAACTTTTGGACAGTAGATGTCCAATGAAGTTTATTATGTGCGACACCAGTCAGAGACAGTTTAGACCCGTGAATATTTTTTGATCCAATCATCTCGCCGGGTTGAGCTTGCGCAAGCGCACAAAGCGTTGTTATTATTAAGGACATATGACCTTATCCCGGGCCCACCGGAAGTGGATAATTGGATGGGGAATTCTGGGCGTGTGCGATGGTTGAGTTGGGATGTAGGTTGGGCGTTTTTAAAGTTCAAAGCGTGAAGCCAGTTCAAAGTGTGAAGCCAGTTCAAAGTGTGAAGCCAGTTCAAAGTGTGAAGCCAGTTCAAAGTGTGAAGCCAGTTCAAAGTGTGAAGCCAGTTCAAAGTGTGAAGCCAGTTCAAAGTGTGAAGCCAGTTCAAAGTGTGAAGCCAGTTCAAAGTGTGAAGCCAGTTCAAAGTGTGAAGCTAGTTCAAAATGTGAAGCCAGTTCAAAGTGTGAAGCCAGTTCAAAGCGTGAAGCCAGTTCAAAGCGTGAAGCCAGTTCAAAGCGTGAAGCCAGTTCAAAGTGTGAAGCCAGTTCAAAGTGTGAAGCCAGTTCAAAGTGTGAAGCCAGTTCAAAGTGTGAAGCCAGTTCAAAGTGTGAAGCTAGTTCAAAATGTGAAGCCAGTTCAAAGTGTGAAGCCAGTTCAAAGTGTGAAGCCAGTTCAAAGTGTGAAGCCAGTTCAAAGTGTGAACCCAGTTCAAAGTGTGATATCAGTATGAAATGGATGCGCCCAATGGTTGGATGCAAGTTGGTTGCAGGTTAAAGGTTACATTTTGAAGCAAGTTCAAGGTCAAAATGCAAGATGTAGGTCAGAAGAAATTTTAAGGTCAGACGCGATTTAGAAGAGATAAAATATGAGCCCAAAATCAGAGGTTTAGGTCAGATCCAAGCTCAATGTGAGTTCTAGGTTCTAAATGGAAGGCTAATACAACAAAGATCTCCAACATAATCAACAGTTGATACAACACACATCTCTAACATAATCAACAGTTGATACAACAATCATCTCTAACATAACAGTTGACACAACACACATCTCTAACATTATCAACAGTTGATACAACAAACATCTCCAATACAATCAACAGTTGAAACAAATTTCAACAAAATCAACATTTGACACAACAAATATCTCCAACATAATCAAAAGCTGATACAACACACATCTCCAACATAATCAACAGTTGGCACAACAAACATCTGCAACAGCATCAACAACTCACACGTCTCCCAACAATCGCCCACCAATCCTAGCATCGAAGACATCCCGGCGCTCCCCCCCCCCCCTTACCCCGCCACTAATCGAAACCTCCAAATCTTGTATTTACTCACCCAAAACAAAAAGTAGAATCTATGGCATGACATGGCATGTAAATAATCAACGCCGGAAGCTGTGATTCCCATCCAGCCGCGGAGGGACCCAGGAATGCGCAACCTTATTATTTCCGTTGGCTCCCGACAACAGAAGTCGACGGCGTGTGTGCAACGTGGCATCGCCTGGGTATGCCAGCTTGTCTTTGAACTATCGTATCGTGTTCGTTTCATCAAGTAACAAAATCAAAATAAAAAAAACAACACCTTTATTACCACTACACGTTTTTCACGTAAATCTTGGCCGCATAACAACTACAATTGTTTATATATATCCATCCGCCACGAGTAAAACAAACCTCATCACGCAGACTAGTTATCTGAAAATAGTTCCATAGCTTAGCTATCATCCTGGGCGTGGTTATTATCTAAAACAAATGATTTATTTCGTTTAATTAAAATATATTGATTGTGTAGGCACGTTGTAGTTTTTATTATCTCATTTTTCTTCTTCTTCATTTTAGTAAATAATACCTTTAAAGAATTTTTTTTTGAAACCAAACAAATATGGTTTACGCTGTGCTTAGGGCGTATAAATTCTTGACAGAAGTATTAGAAGCTTAGACATGAATAAACTGCGTATTTTGCAGTTAAAAGCTGCTCCCATATTCCGCGTTCAGGGCCGTTGTTCTTCATTTAAAGTTAAGTATGGGGGGGGGGGGGAGGGGGTTAAGGGGTAGGAAGGGGGGAATACACACATACTTATAGTTAACTGACGACAATTTTTCTTTTCATCTCCCTGATACACCAATAAGAAAATGATAGAGGGGAAAAAAGAGCAGCCCCCCTCCCTTCTCAACTCGTGTGTCTTGGGACCTGCTAGAGTTGCCGTCTCAGCTTACTGTTCAACCACCAGAGGGCGCAGTGCATGTTTTTTTAACAGACTCGTCACAATTACTTTAACGCTGGTTTGATACTTTGTTTATGTATATGTGTATCATCTGAAAGTGGCTCCAAAAGTTTCATTTTTCAGTACGTAGAGTTGAGTCCACTCAGCTTTTATAAGTACCTAACGTGATTCCAGAAAGTAAAGGCGTCTGGGCATAGAGCTGACCACACGCCCTATTCTTATGCTGAGGTTAGAAAAAAAACTAGTTTAACTCTACGTCACCTACCCGTGTGCCCTGGAAGAGTGCTTTACTTTTATTTCAAGATTTTTTATTATTTTTTTGAACGCGCGATCGGCACGCTAGTTTCAAATTTAAAAAAAAAAAGCATATTTACTGTGATGGATATTTAAAATATGATAGGATAGTTTAATTTGATGTTGGATTATTAAAACACACTTCAACAACAAAACTTCACGCAATGAAAATATCGCAAAAAATGTATTCTGTGAAATATGCGAAGAATTTTTCTTGGTTATTAAATACAGATTTAGGCAATAAATGTACATGTATCACCATATGTACAGTTGTAAGCAATAATATAAGCTTTACTAGATTTACAGTTGTAAGCAATAATATAAGCTTTACTGGATTTACAGTTGTAAGCAATAATATAAGCTTTACTAGATTTACAGATGTAACTAATACTCAGATGTCATTCTGATATGTTTATGATATGTTGAAATGGGGAGGGTGTGGGGGCATTTACTAGAAACTGTGGAGGGGGTGGGGGGGAGATCCATTTTCATACATCTTTGTAGGCCCTCTTCTTTTTAAAGTTTAGTTTACACTTTCCGCATGCTTAAGCAAACTTCTTCTGAAATATTAATGCAGACGATTTTCTTTTGAGGCTTTCTTACAAAAATGCTAAGTTGCGTTCAATTTTTATCAAAAAGAAAGAAACGAAATGTAAAGCGTGGCTTTTTGGCTTGTCTAAAAATGTGTTGAGCCTAGCTAGCATTCTGGGTGATTTGTATACATGTTGTGATGACGTGTTGAGTAGAAAAACCGGAATGGCGGGAAGGAAACAAGACAACGATTGAATGAACAAGACATGAACAAGATCGAGTGGGTGGGGGTGTTCATGGTGGAGGTATCAAGGTGCAGTATTGGAGTCAGGTAGAGTAAGCGGAGTCATCAAGAGGAGTCAGTGGAGTCATCAAGAGGAGTTGATGTCAAGTCAGCGTACAGTAAGCTAGTTAAGTTAGAAATTTCAAAACGAAGCAGGAAAAGGAGTGGAGAAAAGTCGGACCCGGGCGACAATCTCTGTGCACTTAAGCTAGAAGGAGAGTCGAAAAAAGTTTGTGTCTGACTCAAGTTAAACTAAAATTCCCCCCCCCCCCCCCTTCATTTTTTATAGTTTTATAGCCTTGATGTCAACACCGTACAAACTATAGTAAAGTACAGACTTCACCTATCACACCATTAGTGTTATTATAGTCAGTTCTTAAATAGGTGGCTAGGGTTTTTAATTGGTAGCTGATCATTAGTTTGTAGTTAGCCATTATTTGGGATTTACTTGCTTAATTAACAGGCTTGAAAAGCTGATTCAAAATGGTTCCAAATTTGTGTTGCCAGAAAGCATATTTTTGAATATTTATAACATCTGTGAAATAAGTACTTACTTATTTTTATTAAGGCTAGAGATTTTCAAACAAATAATTACTAGTAATATGATAGTAATTTAGCAAACACTTTTATTTTTAATTTGAATTTGTAGAGTCGGGATGTTGTGGTGATAGGGGATGTGATATTTTTTACAAGTACAATATTACGCTATACACCGTAGACCACGGTTGTGTATTTTATCATGGAACACAATTGTTCTGGCTTTCATTGTTTAACTCTCCCTGGCCATTCCGGTTGACGTAAGGAGAGGTTAAGGGCGGTTTTAACAAGTATTTGAATTAATAAACATAATTCTAAACTGCTTTTTAACGGCTTACATTAACTACAAAAATATGAAAATGAGTGTAATCAATGATTCCCAAACAACTAGGGGATTTTTAAATATAACTAACTATAATTTTATCGTTTGCTGTATTTTTAAAAAATAATTTTTTTTTTAATTTAGTATGATTACATAGATTTTTCAAGTCTATTGGCTTAAAGAGTGGTTCTAAATATATAATTGTAATTTTAAAATGACAAGCGATAAAATTATGGTTACATTTTTTAAAAATTAAGGCTGTTTATGAATCATCGATTACACTCATCTTCATACTTTTGTAATGCGGATATTATTTTAACAATTTAAATATTTTAAAAAACTTCATGTGCCTATTGAGTCAACTGGAATGGCCAGGGAAAGTATAACAATAAAAGTTGCAATCAATGTTTTACATGGTAAAATTAACGTATTGTACAGGGTAGGAAAGATAAACAAAATGGCAAACGGTTGACTTTTTCAGTTTGATTCAAGATGTTAAAATTGCTTTTGCATTCTTTTTATTGTAGTGGTCTCACGATTTTAAGACAAGACTATATTTTGCTCAGATGTTATATTACTGATGACACCCCCCCTCCCCCTTTATTATTTTATTACTTGCTTGAATATTTCTTGCCGTCGTAAAACCGGTAGTCATTTTGTACCTGTTTCAAAAATCTTTTAAAATATTCAAATTTGGTTTAAAAAATAAGCTTTCTGGCAACTAAAATTTTTAATCATTTTGACAAGCCTATTGTCATTACTTCAAAGGTTCACTAATAATTCCCAGCTTTGTTGAAGATTCAGACATTTAATAAGAAGTTAACTGCTTACTTTTTTTTCGCTTTTCTTTTACATTCGATTAACACACACACACACACATAACAAAAAACGAAACAAAAAAAAAGGTTTAAACATTTTCAGTTTTGACATTACGAGCATCTAGATAATCTTTGTCTGCACTAGCTTCAAAGTAAAAGGAACGTGAGTGGGGAGGGGGGGGGGGTGACCGGAAGTTTTCTGCTCACCTTTTTGGCGTCTGTGAGTTCGTTGGGCGACTGCTGTGGGCTGAGCCCGTTGCCGTTGGCTACCACTGGGCTGTGCGACATGAGTTCTTCGCTTCCTCTCTGTTGATCAGCAGAAATAAGTGGATTTTAAACTTCAGAAAGTAGAGAACAAATTAAACAGGATTTAAATAACATTTTAAACTTCAGAGAGTCGAGAACAAATTAAACAGGATTTAAATAACATTTTAAACTTCAGAAAGTCGAGAAAAATTAAACAGGATTTAAATAACATTTTAAACTTTAGAGATTCGAGAGAAAATTAAACGAGATTTAAATATCAACATTTTAATCTTCAGAAAGTCAGGAAAAAATGGAACAGGATTTAAATATCAACATTTTAATCTTCAGAAAGTCAGTAAAAAAATTGAACAGGATTTAAATATCAACATTTTAAACTTCAGAAAGTCAGGAAAAAAATTAAACAGGATTTAAATGTAACATTTTAATAAAGAAAAAATTGGACAGGATTTAAATAACATTTTAAACTTCAGAAAGTCAGGAACAAATTAAACAGGATTTAAATGTAACATTTTAATCAAGAAAAAATTGGACAGGATTTAAATAACATTTTAAACTTCAGAAAGTCAGGAACAAATTAAACAGGATTTAAATGTAACATTTTAATCAAGAAAATATTGGACAGGATTTAAATAACATTTTAAACTTCAGAAAGTCAGGAACAAATTAAACAGGATTTAAATGTAACATTTTAATCAAGAAAATATTGGACAGGATTTAAATAACATTTTAAACTTCAGAAAGGCCAGACAAATAAATATGGAACAAACATATAGGCCCTATATAGATTTTACAGGCTTGAATTTTAAACTTCATAACGCCGTAAGCAATAAACACGAAACAAATTTTTAAAATTTGATTTCGAGTATCATCAGAATATCAACAAAATTGACCGAGAAATATAAAAAAAAATCCTGAAAATACATGTGGATTTTCAAACTTCTTAAATATAGAAAAATAAAGACTTGTCATAGTCACCTTAGAAATTACGACTGCACATAAATATGAAGATAAATATATCAGACTTGACTAAGGCTAGCAGCAGTCAAAAGTCAACAGGTATTACCAGACGTTAGAACGTCATCAGTTAAAATACAACGTGCGAGGTTCATTAGCATGCAGCGACACAAACATTCCCCTATTGTACGGCAGCTGGGCACGTGAGTTGAACTCAGCGAAACCCCCCGGGGGGAGGGGGGAGTTAACACATCGTATGGATGACTGAATGACGATAGTTAGGCCTAACACATCTAACAGATGACTGAATGACGATAGTTAGGCCTAACACATCTAACAGATGACTGACGAAAGTTAAAACAACTAAAATATGATGACAAAAGTTAAAAAAAATACTAAAATATGACGTCGAAAGTTAAATTGAAACAATAACCGACGACTGCTTCAAAATATAAAAGTTAAAACCTTTATGGGATATTTTCTAGTTACGGCCGAACTTTAGATCAAGAGGTTGGTGTATACACACATTCAAAGATAAAACATGTTCCCAAAGAAGGTTAAAACTCCGCAAGATCTAAAAGTTTACTTAAGGTACATTAAAACGAGCATCTGTAATTAAATTTGCTGAAAAGGTATTCAAGATTTTTAGAAAAATATTTCTTTGCGTCTTGTTGTGGCGCCTTCTTTCATTCGATGAAAACAATGTGAGAAATGACACGAACAGTGTGCTTTACAAATAGTTGGCCTACTGGGTGTAAAAAAAAATAATTTAAAGTTTTAATTGACAGTTCGATATTTAATTATCCAGGTAATGTGTATTGGACTCGAAGAAACTAATTTGTTTAACGCGTGTGTAGCAATAAAACACACAACAGACACACGTGTGTAGCAATAAAACACACAACAGACACACGTGTGTAGCAATAAAACACACAACAGACACACGTGTGTAGCAATAAACACACAACAGACACACGTGTGTAGCAATAAAACACACAACAGACACACGTGTGTAGCAATAAAACACAACAGACACACGTGTGTAGCAATAAAACACACAACAGACAAACGTGTGTAGCAATAAAACACACAACAGACACACGTGCTAACAGCACGAGTTCATTGACACTTGTACAAAATGTGTGTACATTTCAGTACACAATTCCGTACACAATTCCAGACACCGTTGACCTATTTCATGAACTGGTGAGAACTGAGAACTGTTTGGTGTTTACCCCCCCCCCCCCCCCCCCACCCATCTGCAGGTGTATTCTCTTGTCTTACGGTGATCGATACCGCAAGACGCGCGTTAAACTATAAATAGCATTGATATGGGCGCGGTCAGCAGGGGCAGCTACTCTCCCAACAAATATTTGCATGCAATTTTAAACGCGCTTTAAAACTTATTTTACTGTTACCTACCATAAAAGCACCGACATTTAATCACATCGTGTTTCGTTTTTTTAAAGTACGTACTAAATTTTACTTACATTTCTAAATCCACATACTAAAGTTGTGTATTTAAAAAAATAATATAAAAAGAGCTAACGATTGACGAAATACAAAAACTAAAAACGCAATTCATTTAAGTTTAGGTATCAGGTATGACTACGACAAGCAGATCAACTTACTAACACAATTTAAAGACTAGGCAATAGTCGATTTCATCTCATCACCTGACGAAAAAAAAATTGAATAATTCCACTCGAACACGTGACCTGTCTAAACGAATCAAATACAAGAGCAACAATGAACACTTGTTTCCATTGTCTTGCTAAATATTCAACGATAGGCTGCAAAACGTTGGAGTTTTTTAAAAAGTCGGATACAAGTCCTTAACAGTAACACCAAGGGATGGAATCCTGGTTGCAAAAGTTACACACACAAAAAATGCGAAAAAAAGAAAGTGAAAAATGAAGTGAAACGAAAGTTAGTGGAAGAATGTCAGCAGAAGTAGAAAATTGACTGCCACGTCAACGGAAAGCAGCATGACACGGGCAGACGGCAGAATAAAAGCTGTTCGAGTTTAAGGGCGGGAAGCTGCGCGGTGAGGTCGGGTGGGGTGGGGTCGGGGGGTGGGGGAGACGACGACCGCGTGGTGATGCGGGCTGGTGATAGAAAGACAAGGGGTGAGCGGTAGAATCTGGTGGGGAGTTTATGTTTGTTGTTTTCAGGGCGGCAACCGACAGCCTGCACAAAACGCAATCTACGTTCTAGGAGATTTGCAGGAACTTTCTAGAATACATAAGTTCCTGCTCACAAAAAATTTCAACTTGAAACAACCACGCAGAGATATACATATTATACATACAGACTGTACATTTTATATATATATATATATACATATATATATATATACATATACATATATATATACATATATATATATATATATATATATATATATATATATATATATATATATATATATATATATATATATATATATATATATATATATATACATATACACATATATACATATATAATTTATGTATATGCTAAAGATGATAAAATTGTGTATCAGTAGGTCTATATATTATGATAAATATACATATATATATATATATATATATATATATATATATATATTTTTTTTTATATATATATATATATATATATATATATATATATATATATATATATATATATACTGATAACTGATACATAATCTAACATTTGTATGTATGTATATGTATGTATGTACTGTTTTACATAAGAACTTGCAATGTGAACATACATCAACGGATATGTGTCTGTTCTGAGAGGATACAATGGCGCTACGTCTGCTAATTGTCGAGGTAGAAAATGTCAGCGCTGCATCAGTTATGTGATGGGGATGATGATGATGACACACACACTCACACACACACACACACACACACTAAGTTGGGCGTGCCTCCCGTGGGTCACGAACAGCCCAGGAATTAGAATAAACAAACGTATCAAACCCCCACACAACCTACACAACACCCCCCCCCACACACACACACACAGACACACACACAACCGCTAGCACGAACAGGCAGTGTTGTCTAGAGCAAAGAGGAATTGATCGGCACAGGATAATGGAACACAATGTGTTTGTTCTACAAGTCAATGTGCTAGAGACTTGCACCATACAACATTTGGGCCATAGAACTTCATGTCGTACAGAGGTCTATAGAAACATCCAATATCATACTTACAACATAGAACATTGTGACCTTAGAACCTCATGCCGTATAGAGATCTATACAACATCCTACATTAAACTTACAACACAGAATTTCCAACAGATATGTTGAATGTTGAACTTGTATAAGCGTGTAAAGAAGACAGGGGATATAGAGCATCCATCATAGAACATTTAGATCATAGAGCTTTTGTTGCAGTTACATTAGACCGGAAACATGGAACATAGATCACAGAACATTCAGCAGAATCTCTAACATGTGGACGGTTGAACTTTTGCTGCTACAGCAGAAATTGAAATCTAGAAGATTTAACAGAGTTTTTTCCATTGAATATTTTCTGCCCTGTTAGTACGCGAGCAACACAGACATCTAACATAGAACATTTTCACTAGAACTTTGGACCACATAGCTGCTGAGAAGGTGTGGGAAGAGAGCGACAGACAGACAGACGGACAGACAGACAGAGTAAAACCACGGGAAGCAGAGTAGGTTTTACATGTTGCATCTCAATAGCCTTTTTTTGTTGGTGGGGGGTTCTGTTGTTTGTTGACTTTTAATTATCTTGTTTCTGTCTTGTTGCTGGTTTTGTTTTTGGCTTGGTGTTATTTTCTATGCAACACCTACGACATCCAACAATCGCAGAAATGGCATGTGCGTGGCCGCCGTCTAAAAATTATCGGGGGGGGGGGACATCATGTATCAAAAATATAGCGGTAAGACATGTGTCAACATTAGAGCTGCCCCCCCCCCCCCCCCCATGCTTGCATGTGCCATGATCCGCCACTGGTCACTGACTCCACTGAATTTAAACTGTTGTACACCATGACACGACCGAGAAGCGTCACGACAAATAGTTAGACTCAAGTGACTCAACGACATTTTTTTCCCCCGACATAACTTCAATGGTAACTTGCTTCGGTTTTAATCTTAAACAATTGAAAGCCATAAAAAGTTAATTAACTTAACCTCGCTAATTTAACCAGCACAGAATCGATCTCAAAAGTTTAACCGTATAACCATCACAGGTTAACCGTTAAACATTGTCAAATTATCGTCATGCACAGAATCGATCTCAATAGTTTAACCAAAAAACCACCACAAGTTAACCGTCAAACATTGTCAAATTATCGTCATGCACAGAATCGATCTCAATAGTTTAACCATATAACCATCACAGGTTAACCGTCAAACATTGTCAAATTATCGTCATGCACAGAATCGATCTCAAAAGTTTAACCGTATAACCACCACAGGTTAACCGTCAACCATTGTCAAATTATCGTCATGCACAGAATCGATCTCAAAAGTTTAACCGTATAACCACCACAGGTTAACCGTCAACCATTGTCAAATTATCGTCAAGCACATTGCCAGATATTCTCCCCCCAATAATAAAAAACAACACCCCGGACAACAAAACCCCGTGAACGTCTGTCAATAATCATTTGCAGGATAGCAGGGGCCGGGCGAGGCTCTGATGAACCGACGACTCGCGGGAATTCCCGGGCGGAAAAAGCTAAATGATGGGGGCTAAATCATGTGCAAAACTGGGTGGCGCTCGACGCGGCATTAAGGGGGAAATAGGGCGAGATGGATCCTTGTTGTTGCACTCGTTAATGGCCTCTTGTTTTATATTAATTGAGTAATAACCCGAGTCTAATGGTTACACAGTGTAAGCGAGCGGTTTACACGCGGTGTAAGCGAGCGGTTTACACACGATGTAAGCATGCGAGCATTGGTTGCTATGTATACAAAAATTTCGGACTTGATTTTTCGGTTTTAGTATATTTTACTTTAGTGCCTCATTTTTTATATAGCTGTTAGGGTTAGAGTTAAGAGTAGGGATAGAAAAATGGTGCAAATCAGGTTTAGGTTGAGGAAAAGAATAGCGTTACTTGCAAAAAAAATATATTTGCTAGAAGTGTTTCTTTCAATATTTTCCGAGGGGTGAATTTAAAATTTTCAAGGTAGAGGGGCGGACTTTAATTTCCGGGGGTTCTGCACCCCCCCCCCCACGTAAAGATGCCTGAAAGAAACTATTTGCTACGTCATGTCGTTGCATTTAAAAGTACATATTTTTCAAAAACATGTTGATTTTTACATTACTTCGCTAATTAATTAATTAAAAGAAAATTCCGTAAGCGCTGACTGGGACTTCAAAAAAAAAATCTGATAGCAAATGCCGATTAAAGTACACACTGAAGGTCATGTGAACGTGTATCTGCTGATAAAAAAAGTTCTGGCTAATACCAGGGACTAAATGAGCCCGTGCGTACACGGCTAGGCTGATGAAAAATTAATGCGCTAAGACCCGCATAAAGCATAACAACCGAAACAATTTTCACAATCACTTAATCAATAGCTCCGGTCAAAGAATCACTTTCCCAGTTTTTTCCTACACCATGGTTTTTTTTTAAATCTCACAGCATGCTATACATGCACACACGCACACATATATACACACACGCAAATATATATATATATATATATATATATATATATATATATATATATGATATTTACATATAGATATATACATACGTGTGCATGTACATATATAAAATATACTTTAATATATACATATATAAGTGTATATATGTATATATATATATATATATATATATATATATATATATATATATATATATATATATATAATGTATGTATTCTTGTGTGTTGTGGTCAAATAGAAGAAATTGAATCAAACTTTGACCTACCTTAAAGGTGTAAACATAAGGTGTACTGACACCTGGGCCGTAGGATGGGAGACACAGGGGCGTGCCGGGCTGGGGGTGGAGGATTTGTGCTGGGGCTAAGCTGATCCCAGGGGCGGTGACCGAGGTGGGGATGGAGTGGAGGGGCTGGTTAAGTGCAGTGACGCCGTGGGGAGGGGGGAGGCACATAAACTCCGGTACGCCCTCCGAGAAGACTGCATACATTTCTGGGCTACAGGTAGCCTGTGCTGGTGGCGACAGGTAGCGAGTAGCAACAGGTAGGGCGTATCGATTGAGCGCGGTCTGACGCGAGAGACAAGGTGACAGCGAGTAGAACAATGGCGTCGGTCACGTGAGCGCTGAGCCAGTCATCTCCCTCGCAGCGTGAGTGCTGGGGCTGATATCCTGGGTGAACTACGGTACTTTCACAATGTACTTCAACTCAAATCCTACAGTACTTTCATAAAGTACTTCAACTGAAATCCTACTGTACTTTCACAAAGTAGCCTACTTCAAATGAAGTCCTACAGTACTCAAAAGAAATCCAACAGTACTTTCACAAAGTACTTCAACTGAATCATACAGTACTTTCACAAAGTACTTCAAATGAAATCCAACAGTACTTTCACAAAGTACTTAAACTGAAATCCAACAGTATTTTACAAAGTACTTCAATTGAAATCCTATTGTACACCCACAAAGTACTTTACTGAAATCCAACAGTACTCTCACAAAGTAAGTACTTCGACTGAAATCACAGATGTGCAGCAGTACCTTCACAAAAGTACTTTCATTGAAATCCTAAAACTACAGTTTTTCTGCCAAGAATTTAAACTAAAATCCTAGATACAATTTAAAAAATACCATCACAAAATAGGGCCTACGTTGACTGAAATCCTAAAATTACAGTATTTTAATTCGTTGGTCTCTATGAAAGCTTAGTTTAACTACAATACATCCGCAAAGTACTATAAACAAACGCCTATTTGAGCTACAGTGGTTTAACCAACTACTTGAAATGAAATCCTGGTTGAATGAAAGTAACTTTGTTAAGCTCTTTAAAATACTTGGACACCTCTTAACGTCGTGTGCTTTCTCGTTTTCTCTCTCTATCTCTAATGGTGGCTGAATGACTTGATTAGATTTGCTAGGTTAGTGAACGACTAGATTTACTAGGGTTGCTGAATGACTTGATTTGCTAGGGTTGCTGAATGACTAGATTCAATAGCATTAATAAATTACCAGATTTGCTAGGATTACGGAATGACTAGATTCGCTAGGGTCAATGAATGACTTATTTAGATGCCCATCTAAAACCAACAGCACACTCCCTTAATGACAAAAACACAAGAGCTCATCCGTTAATGTCGTTAAAAAAAACAATAGCACTCAAACCCCGCAGATATTATCTTTCAACTTATACTTTTACATTATTTTGTAATAATCTGATCTGGCGCTTATTTTGTGGGAAATCTGGCAATGTAACAAATCTACATACCGGTACGTAAACCAAGGGAAATAACACACGTCTGTGTATAATTAAAGATAAACAAACAATGCGAAACATTAATATAACGATTGTCTTGTTTATACAGACGAAATAACTGATCGAAAATTCCTTTCGTTATGTATGGACCTGTTTTTTTATATGATGAATACACATCGATTATATAATAAATACATATTAGTTTTCCATAACGAATTCATTCTCCCGGAATATGAATAAAAATACGAAGTCCGATAACTCAATAGAATCAAGAATGGGAGCGAACAACGGCTGCACAATGAACTTTACCACACAATTAAAACAAATAAAACAAATAATTTCAACGTGTTGTACTATCTCCAGCATTCACTGCGGTGATCCTGGCCTGTGTTCCAATCGGCGTCCCAACAACAGCAGACGACTCAACAATGAGCTCCGACACCCGTCCAGCAGACAAACATACCGCTCACTCGCTACTCGTCATCAGGCGGGTGGCAGACGTCAACTGTCGTCACTGACGGCTCGCACGGCCGCTCAGGCCAAACAATCAAGAGACAGTTTAGTCGGCGGCGACTCTCAAGCGGGCCACACAAGGCCCACGGCTCGCGGGCCGTGTGTGGCCCGCAGTGCCAAATAGGGTGGTCAGTGCCGGTCACTACGACACGACACAAAGCCTTCAAACTTTCGTGTGCTAAGTGGCTGTATAATGTGTTTATATATACATATATATATATATATATATATATATATATATATATATATATATATATATATATATATATATATATATATATATATATATATATATGACAACTTATATGGAGAGACTATGTTGGCTACATGCACCTGAATATTTCACAGATTACCTTAAAGTGTGGAGTACATCTGTTAGAGGCGTATAACTTTTTTAAAAAGTCAAAATGTTTAATTGGATATTTTAACAAGAAGTAAAACCCAAGGCACCGGTGTACAGTTGGAGAAGGAATATTGAACCGATGATTAGTCAGTTTTAAGAGATTCTTCACTATATGGACATAGAGGTGCTTACACTTTGATCACGTTCAACGTTGGTGTGCTACGTGTGTGTGAGACCGTGTGTGTGTGTGCGGGTGTACGCGTGTCTGTGTATGTGAGTGTGACAGCGTGTGTGGGTGTGGCGTGTGTTTGTGTCACAGCGGGTCAGTGTATGTGCTGTGTGTTGTTTATTTGACCAAAGAGACGACATACACGCACACATACACATTCATTAGGGCGCTTTCAAATTTCTATGTTTAATCTATACTGCAGCATCAGCGTTTCGCATATTTTTCATATCCACCAACAGTTGAATAACAACAACTAATGTTTGGCACTTCGGTAATTCACCACGTAGGAATGCTAACATACCACATTTAAATGATAACACACGTGTACGGCATATTGGCATTACCTTAATTTCAAGTTTGTTTACTTCTAATTCCAGAACCACAACAACACGAGTACCGCGCACGAAAGATGTGCAACTAGCTGGCACGTGTGAATAGTGGGATAGATTTTATCTTGAGCCACTACCAGCTGTGCTTCAAGTCGCCCAGTAACACATTCATTAACATTGGCGCCTAATGCAGCATTGTGGCGGTAATTGCTTCCAAACTACACCCCGCCATATGTATGTTTTTTTTATGTTAACTGGTATTTTATGATTTGATATATGCCTATTAACAACAGTCCCCCACCACCACCACCCCAATTTTTTCACCACTCTGGACATAAATAGCTGCTAGTACATTGTTAGGAAAAAAAGAAATATAACCTATAATTAAGTTGGTCCAGTAATTAATAAAAACATCTAATTTCACACAAAACTAGGACGATTTTAAATATAATGGTAATCAGTACCAACCCCCCCCCCCCCTTGAAAACAGTCAACCAGAATCTATAGAGGCTCCTCAAAGTTAGGCTTATTGTTAGGTATCGGAATTTGGTTACTAGCATGTCTAGGGTAATGGTTGAATAAAAGCTATACAGGTCCCTGATTTGTTACAGCATAGAGTCAAATACCAGAAAGTTTTAGGTTTACAATAGCACAAGATGACGACCTCACAAAGTCAAATAGCAGAATGTTTTGGGTTTATGATAGCGCAACACGAGAACCTCAGAGAATCAACAAACAGAAAGTTGTAGGTTTACACTAGCGCAACATGACAACATCACAAAGTCAAATACCAGAAAGTTTTAGGTTTACAATAGCACTAGATGACAACCTCACAAATAGCAGGAAATTTTGGGTTTACAATAGCACAACACGAGAACCTGTTGAGTGACTCCAACTAGAATCGATACCCTCATTTACGTGTACCGTCGTCAAACCACACGACGCGGCTACTTGTATGTTCTTAAGTCAACACGGTATCGTATCGAGGTTTTTATTTTCCCGCTTCACTGTTAAAGGTTAGGGCTAGGGTCAAGGCCATAGGTATGGTGACCAAAAATAGCTTGGGTCCAGTCGCTAGATTATTATAGAACATAGAAATATGTGCATTTGTTTACACAAGGCAGAGTTTTAAATGGTGTGCTAGAAGAAAACTACACGAACAGGTTTTTAACGCGTACACACACACACACACACACACCAACACATATTCCACAGCCCCATACACCTACACCACACACCTCACCCCAACACACTCCCTCCTCCCACAGCCAACACACCCCCAAAAACCTCAAAATTTGTATTGAAAATTGTAAAAAAAAAAATGTCAATACGCTGCCCCCAATCTGTAGACTGAATGGACCGACACGATACGGATCAACATTCAGCCACTACTAGAACCTTTTCATGCTATCTAGAGAGGGAGAAAAAACCAGTTTGGTTGGTTGTGGCTCTACTGTCGAACCCTGATATAATGAGCAATTGGAATAACTCGCGGTATATCACTGGTAAAAAGGCAGTTACAATATAGGTTTTCTTCGATCCAGAGAAAAAATATTTTAATTTTAAAAAATCAATATTTGATCACCCGATCGAATGTCAATAACCCCAGATAGGCAGTTCGATCATGTAGAGAATAATTCATACGCATTACCAATAGGGACACATTTACAGTCAGTACGGGCATCATCATCTTTTCTCGTTTCTGCCCAAGACACAAATGGCGGGTGAAGTAGAGTTAATCTGTTTTATTGACCTCGGCATACAAGGGCATAATGTAATCAGCACTATGCCCAACCGCCTTTATTTCCCTAACGTGAGTTGGTTACCCATCAGATCTGGGTAATTTAAACCCGGATTGGAACTCGAGACTTTTGGGTTAGCAGTCTAGCGCTCTACCGCTAGGCCACGCCGCCTGTTATTAGGGACATATTTACAACAAAAACAAGAAGGGATAAATTTATTGCGATAATGGACACACAAAAAACACCGATGAAAACCACGAACACTAACTATTCAGTAAGCAATTACAGCAGTTAATAAAAATTCTTAATTAATCACCGGAGGCAATCAGCTCAAAGGATCAACTAATTAGATACATTGGTATCGACACGCACATTCCCAATCAATAAGAAACAAACAACGTTTACCAATGCCCTATCTAGACCCAAGAATCAGCTCAAAACTATAACCGATAAGTTTAACTAAAATGCTAAGACTATTACCGTAATCGACTAAATCAATGCTAAAGAGAGGCAACCGCTATTGCTGCCGGCTGAAGCACACGGTAGATATAAACTGAAATATATGCACGCAATTTGCCAACACCAAACCCAATAAGGATAGAATTGTTGTCGCTATCGGCTAAACAGGAACTAATAAAGATTTGCCCAGCATCTTGTTAGATTTGTAGATATTGATGTAAACCAATAATCAGCTCGTGCATCTAAATGAATAGGAATGGGGACCAATCAACGGATAATTTAAGAGATCATGGGGGGGGGGGCAGGATGGGTGGCCCATCTAATGTTGCTTTGTATATATATATATATATATATATATATATATATATATATATATATATATATATATATATATATATATATATATATATATATATATATATATATGTATATACTTATAGTATGTATAAACACAACGGTAATTAACGGTGCAGCAAGTGTGCATATTTTGCACATAAATATGTAGATGCGGCCCTACTTGTGCGTGCTCGTGAGCTTTAACGTAAAGAGAACTGGTCACGTGATGAGGGTGGAGGGGAATGGTGCCAGATAATGTGAGTGTTCTAATAAGTAGCATGTGGTTTACGTTTGACTCTCGGGGTTGTGTGATAACACAAGTGAGATCACATGTTTGATAACAGAATAGTGAGATCACATGTTTGATAACAGAATAGTGAGGTCACATGTTTGATAACAGAATAGTGAGATCACATGTTTGATAACAGAATAGTGAGGTCACATGTTTGATAACAGAATAGTGAGATCACATGTTTGATACAAGCAAAAGTGAGGCTACCGTGTTCGATAATAGAAAAGTGAGACCAAATCTGTGTCTAACGCAACTTGTTATACGGCTATTAAAGAGATCATATTTTATATCATCAGAGATCCACAGGGCAAAAAGGAAAAGAGGTGGACCAAGAAAGACATTGAGACGTGACTTGGAAGAAGACTCCAAGAAGATAGGACACACCTGGGGACAGTTGGAGAGACTAGCCCAGGACAGAGATGCCTGGAAAGCTCTTGTCAGCGACCTATGTCCCACGGCGCGGAGGTGGAGGGGGGGGGGAAGGGGAGGGTGGGGGGGAAGGGGAGGGGGGGGGAGGGGGGGAAGGGGAGGGTGGGGGGGGAGGGGGGGGAGGGGGGAAGGGGAGGGTGGGGGGGGGAGGGGGGGAAGGGGAGGGTGGGGGGAGGGGGGGGAAGGGGAGGGTGGGGGGAGGGGGGGGGGGGAAGGGGAGGGTGGGGGGAGGGGGATAGGCTCACCTAACATAACCTATTTTATATCAGCTAATAACATTGCACATAGTATTTAGCCTTTAACACCGATGAAAACTGAAAGACAAAACTGTAGACGGTAAAGACAGAATTAACTCAAACTGGTGAAGTTCATGCAATACAAATTCCGTGCAAAAACCTGCAATTAAACACACCGAGTGTTCAGATTGATTCTACAAGCTATTCCATTAACTCATACACTGATCCATGCACTAACCCATACATTAGCCCATACACTAATCCGTACCCTAACCACACACCAACAGTCGACGACCTGTATCGATACCAAGTAACCAGGAAAGTGAAAGAAATGTTAAGCCATTTCATTAAAATATATCGAACCTCTGTCAGCACTTAACGAGGTAATAAAACATCGAACTCTGCTTAATTTCTAATGAAGTTAGATAATTAAGTTTATATTTTTTATTTTAAAAAAATTGAATTAAGTTAAATAACTTTTAAAATACGTTCACAATTTAAAACTGCTTCGTTGAAATTACGTTAAGAAAAATATTCAGAATACGAAACAAGAAAAAAAATAATCACG